CCCAATTCGGAATCAAAATTCAGCACCACCATTCTCTCGTCTCTGCAACTAAAATAGATTTCATGTAAAACATATCCGGGGCTTGTTGGTTTGTTTGTTTGTTTTACCTGACTGCTAAGAAATCATGTGTATGCTTGTAGGTAAACATCCAGGGGACCGATGGCATTAAGTCCTCTCCGAGGGAATTGATATGGAGGATTAATGCCTTTACCAGAGGGTCGACTTGGTTTCGAACCCGGGGCCTCTCGGTCACGAGACCATTGCTCTAACTACTGAGCCATCGCACCTCCTCTGTGATTTAAGTAGGGCCTACACAGTAACATGAGTTTTATTCCTGCAGTTTTCTTACATCGTTATTTTTGATGTGGGTCCTACTTTTCAGTAGAAGAACAATGTTCAGTTGAACAGTAATCATTAAAATATATTATGATAAATGAGCATTTCTTAACGTTAATTTTGAGGAGACGATGGATGAGCATGCAGAAAGGAGAAGCACGGTATGAGGTTGGTCGATAGAATAGAAAATAGAGGGGGGAATTGGAGTCAGTTGGAAAGAGAAATATGAAGATAGATAAAATGGTAGAAGAGGAAAGGGAGATAGAAAGAGAGAGAGAGAGAAAGAAAGAGAGAGAGAGAGAGAAAGAGAGAGAGAGAGAGGGGGGTTGACGGGAGAGATAAATAGAGAGAGAGAGAGAGAGAGAGAGAGAGAGAGACGGGGAGATGGGAGATAGTCTTGAAGAGAGAGAAAAACAGTTATTGATTTTTAAAAAGCACGCTTGACCTTCACCATCACCCTTTCCTGAAAACAACTTTGATAAGATGTGGAAAGGCATCAATTTGTCAAATATCATTCTTTTTCCAGAATAGGCCTAGATGAAACGTATAGAACTAAGTTGTTCTTTTAAGAAATATTTTAAAAAAACAGTAGGATTTCTCAATGAAGAAAAATCGATGAAAATATTGATATTTACGTTGACTAGAACCATCAGAAGTAATTGGTTTAAATCCATGTTTACTACTAATCAATAATAATTTTTTTTTAATCAATAAAAAACATAAAAAATTAAAGCTTGGTTAACTTACCTTAATTGAAAATTCCACTTACAAAGTAAGTTATTCCTTTATAATATCTGCCTCACTTGCACGTGGATATTTCAAAATTAAAAGCAGTCACAAAATTCGAACTGAAGATAATGTAGTTTGGTAATGTTCCCAATAAAGGCGACTTGTTTCTGAAACTCTGAATCTGTATTTTGGACTTTCGCCGGCCGGCCGGCGGTTAATATTAACCAGAGTCCCTAGTATAATCGTGATGAAACGCACGTAGACAACAGGAATTCAGTCATCATCTATAAAGGAGTCCTTATTATGTAAATGAGAATCCGGGTATTTCCACCACCTCCTTGCTGTGAAGCGACTGGGTGGATGTAAACTCTTATTTTGATGACGTAGGTGTGAGTAGGAGTCTCATTCAGGTATATTTTTCAGCCAATGTATGACGAATTAAAGGAGTAAGAAATTGAAGCCCGCCACCCGACGGTCAGCTTTTACAGTCATCGACATGCTTTTACCATGGACCCTACCACATAAGGGAAGCGATCATCATCATCCTGCGAGCCCCAAGCAGTCAACGATAAAAGGATACAGCATGACTATAGATTCTCTTCATAATATTACTATGAAAATATGTATTTTCTTCAAGTAAAAAAGAAAACCATCATTTCGGTTTGTTCCGTTTGATAGGTTTTCTAGATTTTATTTAAACATTCTCTTCTATTAAAGTTTGTTTGTTCTGGAAACATTAATCATTATTCTCAATATTGGACATGGCATTGCTTTCTTGTTAGATCAAAGACACAAAGCTTATAATTATGTTTTCTGTTTTAGCACTTTTCGTGCGACAAAGTCCGGCCCGAGAATTGTAAAAAAAAAAGGGGGTGTATAAACTTTTCACCCGGAGACTTCTTTAAATAGGGGGTGTTTTTTTTTTTTTTTTTTTCTCTCATTTATAATTTGGACTCCTGAGAAATTATTCCGAATTTAGGGGGGTACATTCAGCATTTTTCATGATTTAGGGGGGTCTCCAAGGCAGGAAAAGCCCGCGAAAAGCCCGCGAAAGGGGGGTTCGGAAATGTTGGCAGTCCTCAGATAGGGGGTGCTTTCAAAAAGAGGGAACAAGCATAATGCGTACCCTAAATAACACTGAGTTGGGGGGGGGGGGGCGCCTAGCGCAGCTGGTAAGCATACACCAATGTGCAAATCCTTCATTGTACGGCATACATGTTATTATATTCACCACATGAACAAATAATCCTCCTATATTATAAGTATATCGCATACGGAAGCAATCCATATCATTCATCGGTATTCGGATGACGTCACGATAGTAGCTCGTCGCCATGGAGAGCGGACGCTGCCTCTCGGGTCGTCAGGCACACGTGCTCTCGTCCCAGGTCATCGTACGGTCGATAGGGGGACATGATATGAGGTAAGTGTTTGGAATGATAAACAAGATGGTTAGATGATACTACTGATGATTACCGATGCTCACTGTTGCTTTCGTCTGTTGTCTATTCACCATCACTACCGCATCCATCAGCATTTTTCAAGATAATTGCTGTGTATATTAATTACACCTGTATAGTTGATTTTTTGGTTGTCATAATAATTATGACAACAAAAAAATGATTATGCCTGTGCCAAAAAATCAACTATACAGGTGTAATTAATATACACAGCAATTATCTTGAAAAATGCTGATGGATGCGGTAGTGATGGAGAATAGACAACAGACGAAAGCAACAGTGAGCCAATTATTGTGAACCAAAACTAATTTGAATCTGCCGATTGGCCTTGGGAGAACAAAGATGACGCATTTAGTGGTGTATCCAGAAATGTATAAACGGGGGGGGGGGGGGGGGGGGGGTGTTACGCGTGCTGATGCGCCAACTCCAACTCCAGGGGGGTGTTTCACAAAGATCCTAAGTTGAACTTATCTCTAAGTTGGACTTAAAAAATATGGAAAGCCATTAGCATCTTTGAAAATATTTTGTAAAAGTTATTTTGAAAGGCATTTATTGTTTATTGAAATCATTCATATTTTCTATCATCAAGGAGATTTCATGTTCTGGATGTGGAATTAATAAAAAGTCTAAAATACTTGAATTTCTGCTTTTGAATATATTTCATTTAAAGACTCCAATGGCTGTCCATAATTTTTAAGTCCAACTTAGAGTTAAGTTCTACTTAGGATCTTTGTGAAACACCCCCCAGGTTGTATTGATTGAGGGGGGGGGGGGGGCTGCAGACAGGGCTAGACCTACTCCAGATGTTGGACTTGATTTCACAGACCGATTATCATGAAATTAAAACATAATAATAATAAGGTAATTTTTGCTACCTACACAATAATGGCTAGTGCCTGCTGAATAGTTCTATATTATGTATATAGTGTTATTGTAACTGAATTAAACAAGAGGTTTTCACTCTTCTTTCACATAATAATCTACGCTAGCTACAATGGACGAGACGCGGTTATTTTCTTAAGGGTGAATGCCCGTGGGGGAGAAATAGAATTCGTTCTGAATGGACCGTCGTTAGTTAGACCCCCTGGGAGGGAGGGTGCATTCTACCGTTGTTTCTGGTTTCAGGATTACGGGGCGATGGGCACGTACAGCTATATAATACGCTCAAAGAGAGGAAAGTATCCTTTAGATGCACCCAGGGGTCATTTACATATATTTGGACTAATTATTGTGATGCCTATTGAGATTAAAGTATGTCATGGTCTTGACCAGTCCACTACATTGAAGTCTGGATAGAGATTAACAGCCAATCGACCAGCTTTTATCCTTTTATTAAATTAAAAAGAAAGAAAGATGAGTTTTTAAGAAATTTAGGAAAGGGGCATTTGAGATAATAATTATTTTCAGCTAATTTGATCCGACACTCCGTCCGACACACCCTTCCCTTCGAAACCGTCCAGCAGGTCATTTGTATACACAAATCTTTGTTACGTGCCTCGTTACAAATTATTTCATTCAATCTGTTACAAATAATCATATTTCAATATCCAGAATACGAATTGCATTCATTAAGTGTTGTTGGGTAGGAGAAGCCATAACGTTGCAATTCGCATTCTGACTATTGAAATACGAATATTAAGTGAATGAAACGGCGGGAATTTGTAACGAGGCACTTAACGAAGATTTGGCATTGAATGTGGCCATTACATTACGAAAAAGGCCTATTTAAGGGCGAAACATACACGTTCAAATTCAAATCAAAATGAAGTTTGCACCAACTAAATTTAAAGGGCGTCAAATTTGACCGGAATTCTATTTTTAGTTCCAATTATCTATTATTGTAAGGAATATATACTGTATGAACTTAATCAAAACAACGTTGATACCCTTCGAATAAACAATGTGCAAACGTCACTTTGAAATAAGTTACTTTTGAGACATCAATCAAAGATAAAGTCATATTTTCACCTCGTACAACCACTGCATCTTGCCACTTTTTTTCTCTGGCCTACACTCTACTTCTCCTCCTTTCACCCTCTCTCCTCTCCCTCTCTCCTCTCCCTTCTATAAGACAATACACTGAATATTACTCACATCTAACTTTACACCACACGTTATGCCTCACTCTTTCTTTCATTTCGCACTGTCCTGATCATGCATTATATCACCTATACAAATATCATGTAAAATATCGATCTCTAAATTGTTTAGTCAACAAATGAATGACTTTAAAAAGGATCATTTTCTTCTCCCCCCCCCCCCCTTTCCCCTTTCCTCTTAAATGTAGGCCTACATTAATTAATTTGGTCAATCACACACCTCAAGGATTCCTGGAATGGTTGGACTATGCCTTTGATTTAAAATGACATAGAGCCCAGTAAGGCTTCAAGAAGCTACTGAAAGATTATCACTTCCAAGGTCCAAGGCCAGATCCAAACCCTAAATCATCTCACAGAAATAACAAAAGGGCTTTCATTTTCTGATGTAAGTTTAATTTATTCTGAGTCACTGTTAAAAGAACTTACATATATGCAATCCATTCATAGTTACACAATATCAGTTTGCTCAAGACATCTTGGCTCGATTGGGGTGGATTTTTAAATAAAGGAAGGGGAGGGGGACCGAAATAAGAAATGACGATTGTAACATTCAGATATTAGGATAGGAAATCGCCTGTACATATCCCTATATATCCCTTGATTGTAATATGTGTCAGGTCTCGACCATATTCATCTTATAGCAACAAACATTCCCCTTTTAAAAAATCTAGAATATAAAAAGTCATATGATTTCCTGATGACAAATCCTCAACATAATAAATGCACATGTAGTGAAACAGTCAAAGACTAGTTATTTAAAAAAAAAAAAAATATTTGACATGTTTTAAAAAATAATGTGTATATGTGAATTTTTAAAGAATACATGCAATATGCAAAGTCTGCTTAGATATAACATAGAATGCAGGTGAAAAAAGCTTAATTAATATTTATGTGGACTTGCAAAGAACAATAATCATGTATAACGATAACTAAATCTTGAGGTATAAAATGAAAAAGAAAAAAAATCCTACTAGAAAGGTCATGAAGTCTAAAACGCAAGGAAAGAAAAAAGTTAGATTACAAAAATCACAATATGCGACTTTGGTTTATATGTGTGCAATGCAACCAAGAAGCATCAGGTCATCATGCATGCAATATGATAAGTCTGCTTACATATACAACATAAAGTACAAGTGAAAATAGCTTTATCAATCAGAGATATGGATTGTCAGAGAGAGGGAAAAAGTTCACAACAGGCCCAAAAAATACTGAAAGGGATTTCCCTCCACAAATATGTACAATTATTTACAACAATGCAATAATGGCCATACTGTTATGATTTCAATCAAGAATTATGAATAATAAGCACATTTATGGGATTTCATTACTTTTTGAAATATTTCTTGTCAATGAGAGAGAGGTTGAACACATGTGCATTAATTGGCACCTATGTCTCATAATACACAGAACATTGCTTTCATTTCAAATTCTCATGTTCCCCATGTTTTAATATAGGAAACGTCCAGTTCCATCCAGTAGGCAATGTGTCAACAAACATCTAAGCACCAAGCAAATTGCTTTGTCAAATCACCTTCTTGTAATGTGAGTTTAAAATGGTGTATTTTTATACCCTCACATTTTAATGTTTTAGTATTCCCTTCTCATTACTTCAACAATTCTGATAAATTTTAAAGAATTATTCAATTTTTGTGTGAATCTCAATTCCTTTAAAATTAAACAAGAAAATATCTCTTTGTGTTACTTTTTACTACTTTTCATACAAAAGAACTGTGTGATTCTGAAATAGTAGTCATATCATTAAGCTTTACATCTTCTAACCAAATGGGTATCAATCAATATCAACATCTGTTTTTTTTCTTACACGATACTAATGAGACCTTCCTCTTAATCTAACAAAGCTGCAAAAATGAAAAATTACATGTTCAAATTCGACACACAATTTGCTTACCTCTAAATTGAATCAACAAAAATATAATAAATTAGGCAAACTTCCCATGTCAAAGGAAATTACTTGAAAATCATCATATTTACAAGTATGTGTGCTCATCAACTATAATCACTCGAATTGATCCAAATGCATCATATATTTAGCCTTAATCATCATACATGCATTAACTGAACTCCCTTTAATTTAAAAAGTGAATGTGAAAATCGTGGTTATCCATCTGTCAAAAAAAGCAAAGCACTGATACTATATTCCATCGGTAAAAACAAATACACTTCAATGTCATGTGTGTTAAGGACATAATGTACACATCTTGAAAGGTAGAAATGAGTTTTTATAACAAGATTATTCATGAATACTGTTTAAGAAGAATAGAAGACATGGACTATTTACAAAGGGAATGAATAGCAATGGGTGAGACTGAGTATCGGCACAAAGATCTTACCAGGCAAGTATAAAACTGCTTCAAGGTTTGTACATGTATATATGTATTCATAACCAATGACATATTGCCCTGCAACATCGGCAGCAGTATGCACTACATGGGACCATGCGAGGTACGAGGTACAACTTGGGAGGAGAGGGAAATGCAATGGTCCCTTGTCACATTACTATCATACTCTAAATCTACAAGCTCTGCTTAGTACAACATCAGCTGAAATGAGCTGGACCTGACAGCTTAACAGGAAATAAAAACAATTCAATAGCTTTGGATACAGCAACAAAGGTACTGTAGATTTTGATATGTTGTTCCAAAGCTACACCAACTCCTTATTCTGAATCTAGAATGTGATGCAAATACATGTACATATTTCTTAGTCCTGGCTGTTACACAATAAATCTAAACCAAAATATTTTTTGAGGAAGGAATATGCTTGCATAACTTTCAGCACAAAGAGAATTCAACTCATTTTTGTTTTCTTCAGTGGACAGTACTTGATAAGGGAATATTCTGAAATTCAATTGAAACATCCACTCTCAAAAATTTGATGAAATGTATACAATATGTCACCTAGATTCTTCATAAGAAATTATTCAATTAAAAAGGAACACGGTGAATATTTTTTGTTAAAAAGAGCACTGTACCAAGATGCATATAATTAGGGAACCTTCTCTCAAGATTGAACACACCTAACCTTAGAACTCGTGAATCGAGGATACAAAAGATGAATGAATCTTAGAATCTGCGCATCCCCTGTGTACCTTGGAATGAATCAAAACGAGTATCAGCTGGTAAATTGTGCCGTTCTAATCCATAGCTAGACCCACCTGTGCTTGCATTCATACTGCTTAGGAGGTTACCGAGAGCATTATTGCCAAATGCTGCGCTACTACCAAAGCTGGATGCTCCCCCAGCACCAAGCATGGAGTTGAGTGGTTGGGAACTCTGAGACATGCTTGAGGCAAGGGAGGAAGACATGGCAGCTAGGGAATTACCTCCACCCCATCGCTCTTGTTGCGTGGCGAGACTTGGGTCCATCCTTCCAGCATTCCACTTTTCTCCTCTGGAAGCAGCTCCAATCATACCTGTGCTGATGTCACTGCTAGGGTGCTGTCTTGGCAAGGGATCCTGTATCATTGGTCTGTCGTTGAAACTGCCCATAGGACGACTGTCATTGCCCCCAGTCCATCCAGTGGTGTCCTGGCTCATGTTCTGCGGGAAATCAGGCATCCTGTTGCGACTGAAGGTAGAAGGGTGTTCAACGATCTCTCTGGGAGCTGGACGCTCATGGTGGTGATCGATGGTTCTGAGCTCTACTCTACGGTCACTGGTCTGACGAGTAGCCTGGTTCTGCTTCCATGAGTCATGGTCTCCACTGGTGACTCTTCTAGTATCACTACTGGATGAACTGCTATGATGATCTTGCTTCCAGTTATCCCCTCTGCTTGCCTGGGGCTTGTTTCTTACTGGAGATGATCTACGCTGAGCGTGTGTATCACCCCCTGCATCAAAGCGATTCCGGTCCTGGTTGAAGTTACCTCTGTCCCTCTCTGGCTCTCTGCCTCCCCTAGCATAGGTGTCGGAAAGAGGGCGATCTCTCTCCCTGTCATTTCTTCGCCTGTCTTGGAACCCAGTGTTACCACGGTTGTTGAAATCTTCTTGTGGAGCTCTACCCGCTTGATTATCAAATCTTTCAGTGCGGCTATTATCAGTGCGGCTACTGTCAGTGCGGCTACTGGTAGCTATGACACGCCTCTCGTCCTTCTCTCCACCAAAGCGCCCAGGAACATGGGGTTCCCTCCTGGGAGGTTCATCTCTTTTAGGTGGATCCACACGGCGAGGTGCTTCCTGTCTCGGATGTGGGGGAGCAGCGTTTCTGGGCTCTCTGGTTTCTCTGACATCTCTCCTTGGGAAATTCTCTTCCCTCCTATTTGCCGATCTTCGCTGAGGTTCTGGTCTACGAGTGGGTTCTTCTCTTCTTGTAGGTTCTTCTCTTCTGACTGGTTCTTCTCTTCTTGTGGGTTCCTCTCTCCTAGCAGGTTCCTCTCTCCTTGTTTGCTCAGCCCTCCTTGAAGGACCTTCACGACGTGGCAACTCTTTCCGGGTATCTTCTCTTCTTCCTTCAGATCTCCTGGGTTCTTTTCTGGAGTCATCACGTTTTGAATCTTCTCTCCTCTCTTTTCTGGGTTCCTCTCGTCGTGGAGCTCCCCTGTCAGGTCTCTGATTCCTTCCATCATCTCGGAATCTTCCCCCGACACCGAATCGTCCACCTGGCTCATCACGTCTATCATTTCCGCGTTGATCTCTCCGATCAAATCTTCGATCATTTCCCATGTCTGGACCTCTCTGGTTCATCATTCCTCCAGATACATCCATAGGGGTTGGTATGACAACAGGGGGAGGTAACATGCCTGTCTCCATCGCCATTCTCCGCTTTTGCTCTCCCATGTATGGATCCATCTCATGCATGGGCATACCTCTGGCATCCATTGTGCGCTTCATAGCTGTACGGTGCTCTTGCTCAATGCGTAACTGCATGTTCAGAGCCCTTTCTCTTTCCAACCTCTCCTGCTCTCTCTGTCTCTCTTGCTGAAGGCGGATTCGTTCTCGCTCCAGCCTCTCCCTTTCCATTCGCTCCTGCTCGAGTTGCATTCGTTGCATTTTGAGCTGTTCACGTTCCCTCCTAACCTTGTCTTCTTCCTCCCTCGTGCGACGTCTCAACAAGTCTCGCTGCCTCCTGAACTGTTCACTTCTTTCCCTCTCTCTACGTCTCTCAGCCTCTCTCATCTCTCTTTCTCTATTCTTATGCCTCTCTTTGTCACGTTGCTCTTTGATCTTATCAAATGATAGAATGTCTTTCTTGTCCTTCTCTTTATCTTTATCAGTCTTCTCTTTGCTGTCTGACTGTGCTGTGGTATCCACCTCAGATCCTGGTTCTGTCTTGATGGTTGGTTTCTCTTCACCTGGTTTGGCAGGGGATTTTCCAGCTGAAAGATAATAAGATGAAGTGTAAATATTCTAACTTAGTTTCAAATAACAAAATACAAAATGACATGATATTCTCTGTAAAAATAGAATACATTTTGGGCAGTGCAATTTGTTGAGAAGCTTGCATTGGGGTCCCAGCTTCATACTTTCAAGTCAACTCTTTTTCCTTTTTCTTGGCAAAGCAATTTAGAAATGATTGAAAAGTGCACTGTTTGTTATCCTACCTGGGGATGTTGCAGGTGGTTTCATGTCCGTGTTATCTTCAGTCTTCTCTTCACCAGTAGCAGGCTTTGCCTCCTCTTCTTTCTCTGTCTTCACTGCTACGGTAGCAGCATTGGCCACTTCTTTGGCTTTCTCCTTCTCCCTCTCCTTCTCTTTCTCCTTCTCAGCTAGAAGCAGGGATGGTGGGATCAGAGGTGGCTTCCTACCTCCTGGTACAGGGTCGTTACCAGCCTGGGAAGACAATGACAAAGGCTGCAATCACTAGGCGATGTCAATCATATTTGCCATAGATAATGACACTGACAATATCTTAAAGGGACTATGTCCCATTTGCAGGCCAAAAAATGAAAAAGTTAAATTTCAACTGCATTTGAAAGATAATACTAATTTAGAACTTACCTAAAAAAGGTGGGGCTTGAAAATGTCTTCAAGTGGGAAAATAACGACTATTAGTTGTCAAATCGACTTTAGGGCTATAGAGCTCAAAAGTAATAGTCTTGATTTTCAGACAATTGTACCGAATGGTCATACATTTTATGCTGCACAAAGATTCAATCAGTTTAATCTTGGCCATCACAAGAAGTGGGTTATTGATGTAGACAAATGCTCATGTACCCTTTACAACTCTTTTCATGTATGTGATTAACAAAGAAGAAAAAAAGCCAGTCAGTCACTCAATAGTGTCCGACAGTGAAGTCTAGCAAGTTAACGGTTTTCCTTGCATAATTTGAATATGAGGACACTGCTAACGTTTTAATTTCACAGATAGGACATACATGACATATTCATAATTTCTGCAAAGTTCTACAGCATTTGAGGTTGGCTGCAAAAGGGACATAGTACCTTTAACTGTCTCTATTTAAATTCAAGGAACAGGGATCTATAAGATTTTGTTGTAAAAACAAATGAAGCATTTTGCTTCAGTCCAATATACTGTCTATCAGCTCTTCACAATCTTCTCCCCTAGTGTACACTTTATACAATTTGAAGTTCCAACTTCTTTATGAGTCTTAAGATGTAGACATCTAAATGGATGTATAGACATGCTGACGATAGTCCCCCTCCTTCAGTTACTGTAGTAAACAGCTTTCATCTGATCATGTAGACTATTTCAAGCCAAGTGATTCTTCAAACAGTTCTTTGCTGTTAGCTACCTTCAGATTAATGTGGAATGACTTGGCTTAAGAAAGTCATAGGAGTGGATGAAAGCTTGGCTGGTTAATTCTAAAGCTTTCTTAAAAGTAATTCTTACCCATTCAACGTGGATAGTTCTTCCATGAAGCTCAGTACGATGGAGATGGTTCATAGCCCTCTGAGCCTCAGAGCTAGCAGACATCATTACAAAGCCATAGCACAAGGTTCCTGGGCTACGGGCATTGGTCACGACCTTGGCACCAGCAACCTAACAGGAGAGAATAAAGATCAATGAAGCAAGATGTTCTACAACAGGGCTTGACACAAACAGGAATTCAGTGCACAAGGCTCCCCACTCCCATTTTTTAATTTTTTTATTTGGACCCCAAAAATGATGATATTTAAACAGGGAGTGTTTGCATAGAGACATTACAGATTGCAATCAGAAACCCCTTATAAAATAAGTTGAACATTTCTTAAAAGTATTTGTAGCTTATTATTTTCTCTCTAGAATCATTCTTGAGAAGAAATCTGCACCACTTAAAAGAGCATTTTCACTTCTAATTCTAAGACATATGGGCATTGATACAAAGTAAGAATGTTTGAGCCCAGAGAAACTTATTTTAGTATGTCTCACAAATGACATCATCATGAAGGATACAGGTAATCTATACATGTAATGATAATCACATAGAGTTACTCTAGCATGGCTTGCTGGCCCCACAGGCCACAGTACAGTCAGATGGGGAATTCCGATTACCATGCACAAACAATATTTTAACCATGGATTTATACCAGCCAGGTGATGACACATGATAGTTCAAGAACAATTAAACAAATCACACATTTAATCATTCTACTGGGTATTTTGTTCAAATGAAGAATCAAGAAAACTTAAGATAAACAAAGCTCACATCAGAAAAGAACTTTTCATTATGACCAAAGTTATGTGATTGCTACATATCTGTCTTGGAAGATATTGTATAATCAGGGTTTTAGTGAGCACTAACAAAACAAAAAAATTCTTTCTTTTTTTTCTCCATAAATGAACATTAATCATCTTTTTCAATAATCATATTTTTATTCTTTTGGCCACGATGCTAGGAGTCCATTTTTTAATGTAGTTAGCGAATGACTTATAGTTACAAACTGTAACAACAACAAAACACCAAAAGCTCCTAACCCATTGCCTACAGGGGCTTGGTGGTTCCTGTATATTTAGAATAGTCAACTGAATAGTCAATAAATCTTACCTTTCCATACTTGCTGAAGGCAGCTTTCAGATCGGCAGCACGAGTAGTCTTGGAGAGATTACACACCCAGAGGTTACGGCCTCCAACCCTTCCAGTGCCTGGACGACGCTCTATGGAATAAACATCAACAAGAAAATATTGTAAGGAGACGGTCAAATGCACAGGTACTATTTATTTACCTCCCATACCAGAGCAAGATAATTGGTGTGAGGCACTTCAAAATAAAAACCAGATATATGCAGACAATCATAAAATTGGAGAGGTAACACCACCTGTAATCTACACAATTGAGGTAGACTTCAATAGGACTAGGCCACAAAGTTCTTATTCATTACACTATCAATGTCCAGAATATATTGCTACAGTCTCTATGCAGGGGACGAAAATGAACTTCATCAGGAGTGTAAAGCAAACATTATCAATCTTCTATTACCCTAGAGTCTCTGAAAAAATAAAAAAGGTCGTCAGGTGAGAAAAAGGCAAATATTTTGAAGCACTGACCTTTCATTTGAAAGCCATTGGTAGTTCATTGTGTACAATCTAATTTCATGGGAATTTAATGCTTACTAAGATAACAGAGCATAGCAATCCTGAACTGTACCTCTCGAACCTCTCTGGTACGAGACATACACTTACCACAAAAATCATACATGATTATCATAATTTGTTGATAACTTTTCCATGACTTTTAGTAATTTTTGTTTACATGAGTTATACAGGCCTGGAAATATGTTATCAATTTGTCCACATTTTTTTTTTTTTAATGACCTCAGGAACCCTGGGTAAATGATATGAAGATACTAACCTTTCTCTGAACCAGGTTTGCCAGTACCAGAACCAGTAGAGCTGTAGACAATAGTGATAAATAATGGGTGTTAAAATCTGTCTTGTTAAGAGCAATTTCCTCTTTTCTTCTTTTTTTCTTCTTAGACCTCGCACCGTACATTTAATTTGCCACATACATTGTTTTGGAAAAAATTTCAGTTACTCTTTCACTGTTTTTTCTACATGTCTAATATTCTTTTCCTTTACCAAAGACCAAAGTACACACGCATCCAAAGTAACTGTATTTCACACCACATGCACACAAACAATCAAATCAGAGGTTCATATTCATGCATCTCCCTCAACACATTATAAATACTTGCATTTCAATTCTCTTGTTAACAACATTTTGTTACACTACATGTATATCCCACAGACATGCAAATGTTTTACATACTACATATGAAATCCATCTTCAGTCTTGAAAAATTAACCTCTTAGTAAAAGAAAAATTATGAAATTCCTCTGAGGCCTTATAATTTATAATCCTGTGAAGTATCTCCAATAGGTAGCAGGTAATTATTCTACTTCTTCACTACAGCCATTTCCAAAGAATACTTTTTGCTTTCACCAAATTACAAAACAAAAATTGACAGAACATTCTAAAGTTTGATTATCTGATCACACTCTGGCTCTTGCCTATTTGGAACATTTATATATATATATATACATGTACATACTATAAGAAAAGTATGCATGTACATAATTGGTAGATGTGGTAAAACTCTGCACAACTTGTGTAGGTACCAACTTATAATCTGCATTTTATGCTCAATACTTTGTACGATACGAGTCTTTCAGGTGTACTGAGGTTACTACAGTACTAACCAGCTTGTCAATTGTCAACTACTCTATCAAGATAGTAAGGAGTGGGTTTTCAGGGGGTATTTAAGTACCATGAAAACATCTTTCGACAGGACCATTTGATTTTCAAATAGCAGTCACTACTTGCATCACCATGTAAAAATTCAAGTTTACTGATTTGTGTAGTATTGTTTGAAAGATATGCTCTCATCTTGTTATATAATTGAAGGAAATGCCAACTTGACACTAAAACTGATCCACTACTGCCCTTGTCAGTGTTAAGTCTTGGCTTTGTCTCTGCCAGTTTGACCAATAATTTAGATCCAGGGCTTCTCTAATCTTACTTTGAAAGAAATGGATGATGTGATGGCAACAAACCTTCTGCGCTGGGCATCTGTGGAGTCAACTGATTGGGAATCTTTCATGTCCCCAATTGTGTCATTGCTAGTAGTGTTATCACCAGCTGTCTCCTCATCCGTCTTGCTAACGGCTTGTTCAGCTTGCTCAGACGTATCTCCTTCATCTTTCTTCTCCTGTCCTTCAAACTCCCATTTCTCCTTTCCAGGCCCAGATTCCTTCTGTGTTCCTGCATCGGTCTGGACGGCTGCTGCTGGATCTTCAGCTGTGGCTTTGCCTTCTGGTTTGGTTAGATCTGCTTCAAGCTCCAAGAGAGACGAGCCATCGACATGGACTACCAGGGACTCGTTATCAACTTCTTGCTTCTCTGTGGATGATGTATCGCCAGTTTCCTTCTCCATCTTGTTGGAATCAACGGCATCTTTGGGGCCTGCTGAGGTTAACCCGGAATTATCTGTTGCAGCTGAGGTTTCAAAGTGATCTTCATAAGTAGAGCTTACAAGCCCAAAAACATTTGCTGCTAAATGTGGTCATGGGAGGTAGATATTTCATAGCCGTGAAAAGTGATTGAAAACAATGAAATTATTAGGAAACCACAATTGAAACAGCAAAATCTGTTAACTTGCACCGTCTTCTCTCTTGGTCAGAAGCTGGGCGGTTGCTATACTTACCTAGATCTGCAGCACCTTCCCTATATAGCAAAGGCAATGCATTATACTTGTAGAAACATTGTTATATATCCTCAACTCAAATTTAGAATGTGTATTCTTAATGATTTATTAGAACTTTGGCAATGTTTACGTTTCTGTGGCTTTACATACAGCATAAACAGTTCAGTCACATTGACAATTTTCAGTTGGTGTGCTGAAATTGATTGGCCTTTATTGAGTGTTGACATCCATGTTCATTGGTTAAACCCTGTGATATGAAGCTATGACTGTGGTTTGGGCGATTTGATGATGCTGAGAAGATATCAGTCTCAGTGTTTGCTGCAAGAGCAATTTCTTGTTCTCTTGGTTATTGTCATGTTCTCTGCTTACAGATAAAGGTACAAAGTTGGTTGTCACTATTACAGCTGCAGATGAAAGCTTTACATTTTTTCCTGTCCATGAATGTTGATCGATGCCATATCTTGATGTTGTAGCTCCAGCATAAGTGGACATACCTTACGAACAATAAGGCATGGAAGTCACCTTCAGAGCACCAGTCATTCGCCAATACACTGCATTTCTTGTGATGACTTCGGTGATTTGAAGAAAGATGACAGCGATTGAGGATAGCAGGAACCGCAAACTATGTTTACGTGACGTGCCTTCTTTCCATGATCTGTCCAGCACATAAACACAGCCAACTGTTGATATTTGGTGTGGTGACTGATAATCATGCAGTTATCATATATCCACCAAGGCTAACCAGCCTTCATGGTTGCAAGTTTATTGGAAGTCAGTGTATAATGTTGAGAGGTGATGAGTTGTATCTGCACATGGCCCAAAGTCCAGGTACTCCTCAAGATGAACAGCAAAAATCTCATCATCAGTTACAGATTGTGTAGATTGGAAATGCTGTTCGACAATGCTGACAAGTTTTTCTATTCACTGGAAAGTGAACATCTTGGCCATTCTGATGTTCACTGTTTATCTGGCAAAATGCAGTTGTTTGGTGTAGAGATGCAGAGGTTACTTCTATTCTTGCCACTCCTCTGTTCGAATGATCCTCAACAAATCCAAAGGCCATCTCTTACATGCCTCTGTAGCAGAATGCTTGTAACATCTTTCCAGCAATCCAGAGTTCAAGAGTTCTAGTGTTCAAGAGTTCCAGTGTTCAAGAGTTCCAGTGTTCAAGAGTTCTAGTGTTCAAGAGTTCACACTAAGCCTGAGTCATTACGGTTTTTGTGCTAAACGGATAACCGTTAAAAGTATACGGGCGGTTTCGTTTAACCGTTAAATAATAATCTGAAAAAGTGAAAATACAGTATTTGTAATAGTGCTGTAGCTCGGAACCCTGCTGGTCTTCAGACTGTCGGGCTGAGCATTCCGAGCCAGACTATGGCACACATTGGGTCATCCTGATAAACAGAGACCAGTAATAAACAACATAAAACATGTCTTATTATTCCTCATCTGAATCTGATATCATGATTAACCTTGCAAAGTTACTCTGTGAAGATAGCTTGATCTGTGACGTGTTTATATACCGTATGCCTTTGCAATGCAATGTTTGCACGTGGTCAGGGAGAGAGCTCCCTGCATGTATCATTGCCATATGAAAGTATGTGCAAGTGTGTATCACACACATCCAAGACACACCCTGCAATGAGCTGATCCAAGTTAGTGACCAATCAGGAAGTTTCTCTAGCTATGTGGGTGGAGTTTGATACTAGTATAAATTATAGGTTGGTGACCGCACGTGCTTTCACCGTACCGAGTTCAGTGGGAGGTCAAGAAGCCACGCCCACATGTGTGCATATGACAAGCATGCGCTCTCCATCTGTGTGTATGTACAGTGTATTTGGGCGCCGGAGGTTTGTGTGACTGAGAGAGCATGCATGGTCTAGCATGTACCTGCATGGACCAGGCATGCAGTGACATGAGAGAGTGAAGTAGACAAGTGAGACTATCAATAGAAAGGGAGGCTGTGCATGTTAATCGGCTGAATTGAAGAATGATCAAAAACTTAAATTACTCACAATATCCAAGACTTTGTTGATTGATATTTCTAAAACTTCAATTATTATTGTTATCATTATTTTTGCATTTTATTTATATATGAACATTAATATTTTAGGGGGCGAGTCGGCAAGGGATGGATATTAATATTGAGAGAGAGAGAGAGAGAGAGACTCGGGGACAAGGGATGTGAGAGGAACTGAACATCGAAGGTGTGTAAACATTTAGAACTTTGCTTGTGAGAGTGCAGTAATAAGAAAAGGTATATGAGCGATGAACACATTGCAGAGAGAAGGGAATAAAGAGGGTGAGAAAAGAGAGAAGGGGGCTGGTTGTTTTATTGTTTACAAATTCATTCATGGAGATTACTGCTGCCAGAAAGCTGGCGCGCAGCGGACAGGGTGTAACATTACACTGCGGTTTCTTTGATTATCTTTATCATCGGCTATTAGCACATTCCAAAGTGTATGCAAATAACTGTTAAACGGAGCAAGAAATGCCAAACGGTTTTGATGAATGCGGTCGGATAACCGTCGGTTAAACGGTTTGACTCAGGCCTAGTTCACACAATCTAGAAATCTCCCACATCTCTTTCTTCTTGTTGTAAAAGCCACAGAAACATGCCAATATTAAACCTATCACTAAAATACCCACCCCCTTAATTAACCACACAAATGTGCTTTAATTTCAATTAATCTTATGTCTAACATAATTCTAGCAGTTACTGCCTGGACAACGATGGTCTTACCTTTGGTTTCTTCCACCTGGTCACCAAGTGCTTCCTGTATAGCAATGAAAAGACAGTAAAGAACATGCTCATCTTTCATTCCTTCTACCAGAAACAATTTCAGTCTTTATACAGTCTAAATTGATTTCTAGTCTCTGTTTCTATTAGCTGGCTTAATGTGTTTCATGTTAACATGAGCTTCATTAACCCTATATAGCCCAGGCTATTTTGAAACTGCATAGCCCGGGGGGGGGGGGGGGGGGCTTCTACAGCCCCCCCCCCCCTATGATCTCGGCCATGAAACGACCGATCGCCGCGAAAATTTGCATACATGTCAAGTGAAGTGTATAGGAAACTATGGTAATTCAATTTTTTGAAAAATTATCTCATTTGCATATTTATGGTAATTTATGCACATTTTTGCCTATAAATCAGACATTATTCATATTTAAGCATTCTTTTTCACTACATATATTTGTTAGACCATTTGGAATAATAATACAACACAAAAAATTGAAAAAACAGGGTTATTCCTTATGTTATCTTTTGTTTTGATAATTTCTTATGAATTTCTTTGTTTTTTAACTTATGTATTTTATTGTTTTTGTTGTTTTATTTCATTTCCAACTATAATTCAACTATTTTGACCCCAAAATAAACATCTAAACTATAAACAAGACCAAATAACCAATGTTTTATCTCTTTATTTGAAAAATGAGATTTCCATATGTTGTGGGTACCCGGTAGGATGCGACCGTCATTGTTGGTCAAACAGTTTTTGAGCGTCAAGTAACGCCTGGCTGGAATGCTCCCCAGGGAGTGGAGATTGTGCACACATTGTGTGCGGGCAAGCACTGAATCTAATGATCGGGGTAATAGTATATTTGTAAAGCGATCAGAGACATTGTATTAAACGCTATATAAAAGCTAAATATTATTATTATTATTATTAGATATTCTGCCGAGTGGACTTACATCTTCAGTGAGGAGTTGATCATCGTCAGCGGTGATGTTGATAGCATCATCATTGATATCATCAAGGTCACACTCCACTGAATCAATAACAGACTCAGGGTCAATCTTCCCCATTACATCCTGCAAAAACATAGGGATTGATGAATGGTGATCAAGAAATACATGTAATGGATGGCTCTGAGGCATACTGAGTATACAACTGAATTAAAATTAAGACTCTCCTATCATTAAACACTCATGGTCAACAATTACTTTGCACAATCCTTTGATTTTTCAGTGTGAATACTCACACTTGATGATCAGAAATTACAAATGATTCTAAAAGTTGGGTTATCCTTAACAGTTTAAACTTATCAGACAGGGGAAGCGGAATCTATCCCACATCCCTCGTATTTCAGCTGCAACATTTATAAAAAAAAACATTCAAGGGTTACAATTTAGCAGGCCCCTGCATATTTGTAACTACAAACACATGTATAAATTGCATATTTTGTAAAAATTTCCCCAGGGTGCAGCACCTGGAATATATGCCTTCATGCAATTTCTTATATAACAGATAGATGAGAGATTTATACCTCGTCTGTCATCTGGAAGTCTAAACCACCAGCATCGATACTCTCTTGTGAGAGACCATCCATAGACTGATCACCAGTGGAGTCTACCTGGAGGAACTCTCCGTCCATCAACTCATCTGGTTCCAACTCTTCCATGTGATCTTCGTGCTCCTCCTGAAAACAAAAAACAACCAAATGAAGAACGTGAAAATATCATCTTCATGACAGTGCTTGCTTCACTTGGGGGACTTGATTTATAATTTGAGATTATCTACCAACATGGGATAGTTTTTCATCTATAGGACAAGTAATATCTAGCATACATATTATACAATGACTATCATGACTAATATTCTGACACCATAATGCTTAAAAATTGACATTTAATTATTTTCCCCAAAGTTTCAACTTTTTTCCTGCTTTTATCGATAACATAATTTTACTCACAAAAACGTATGCATCACATACAATCCACGAACCCATTGTGCAACTGATCAAAACTCTTGCTACTGGCAAAAAAGGAAACTGAATAGATTGCTTTACAAACCAAACAGGAGTGAACATTTGCAATAATAGGACTATTTCAAGCACACACCACACCCTTTGTCCCTGGACAATACACAGTTATTCCATATTTAAACAGTCCTTCCTTATCCAAACATACTACAGTGCTGTCTAAATGACAAGGTCAAGAGTATGATGGAAAATACTAGAAAAGGGCATGGGCTTGAGAAAGAGAAACAAATATGACTTTATAGGGTAGTCGATTAGGTTGACAGAATTTTGTCCACGTGTACAAACGAAAGAGAAGGGAACATATTTGACCAAATCTCCCCTGTGGAAAATATTGAGAGTATAGACTACAGGGTTCTTGTTAATAGCCGGCAACCGGCTATTTTTTCCGGCTGTAACGGCAATCGTAGCCGGCTGTAAGCCTCTCCAAAAAAAAAAAATAATAATACAAAAATCACATCATATTCGGTCAAGTCGCTATCTCAAACCCTGCTGGTCTTCAGACTGTCGGGCTGAGCATTCCCAGCCCCGGACTATGGCACAAATTGGGTCATCCTGATAAACAGAGACCACTAATAAACAACATAAAACATGTCTTATTATTCCTCATCTGAACTTGATATCATGATTAACCTTGCAAAGTTACTCTGTGAAGATAGCTGATCTGTGACGTGTTTATATATGCCTTTGCAATGCAATGTTTGCACATGGTCAGGGAGAGAGCTCCCTGCATGCATCATTGCCATATGAAATTATGTGGAAGTGTGTATCACACACACCCAAGACACACCCTGCAATGAGCTGATCCAAGTTAGTGACCAATGAGGAAGGTTCTCTAGCTATGTGGGTGGAGTTTGATACCAGCATAAATTACAGGTTGGTGACCGCGCGTGCTTTCACCGTACCCAGTTCAGTGGGAGGTCAAGAAGCCACGCCCACAAGTGTGCATGTGACAAGCATGAGCTCTCCATCTGTGTGTATGTACAGTGTATTTGGGCGCCGGAGGTTTGTGTGTACATGTGTGTGTGACTGAGAGAGCACGCATGGGCTAGCATGTCCCTGCATGTCCCTGCATGGACGAGGCAGGGACATGAGTAAGACAAGTAAGACAAGTGAGACTCGATAGAAAGGATGGCTGTGTTAATCGGCTGAATTGAAGAATGATCAAAAACTTAAATTACTCACAATATCCAAGACTTTGTTGATTGATATTTCTAAAAATTCAATTATTATTGTTATCAATATTTTTGTATTTTATTTATATATGAACATTATTTTAGGGGGCGAGTCGGCAAGGGATGGATATTAATATTGAGAGAGAGAGAGAGACTCGGGGGAGAAGGGATGTGAGAGGAACTGACCATCGAATGTGTAAACATTTAGAAAGTTGTGAGCTGAGAGTGCAGTAATAAGAAAAGGTACATGAGCGATGAACACATTGCAGAGAGAAGGGAATAAAGAGGGTGAGAAAAGAGAGAAGGGGGCTGGTTGTTTTATTGTTTACAAATTCATTCATGGGAATTACTGCTGCCAGAAAGCTGGCGCGCAGCGGCCAGGGTGTAACATTACACTGCGGTTTCTTTGATTATCTTTATCATCGGCTATTAGCACATTCCAAAATGTATGCAAATAACGGTTAACCGGAGCGAGAAATGCTAAACGGTTTTGATGAATGCGGTCGGATAACCGTCGGTTAAACGGTTTGACTCAGGCCTAGTGTGAAACTGTGATTGATTTGGCGATGCACGATTCGATTCAGAATACGAGCGCTGCACAACCGGTGCGGCACGCTATACACATACACTGTCACAGAGACTAGACCGTAGACGTACGTTCGTAAACAAGCTCAAGCCAGCGAACTCCGCTCGCAATAATTTAAAGAGGCCAGCTCCAGAGCTCGCTCTGCGTCCAAATGATCACCCGCATTGGCATTGCTATTTAAACTTCGTAATCCTAAGTTAGATCTACCGTATTGTGAATAAAAAATGAAAATTTGTACTCATATGTACTCAGAACTTTGTCCAACACCGATATAATCCTTATATCTATTTGATAATTGTTTCAATACAACAACAAAAAGGTTTTTTTCTGGATCTTTTCTTTTCGTGTTTTACTTTTACTTTTAGCGATCTATTTTACCGATTCGAAAAACAGAGGTGGCATATTGCATATAAACGTTAAGCGCATGGCGATTGGAAGAAAAGTACCGAAAACTATTTTTTTTTCGTAGGCCTAGAGTCTATAGAAATAATTATTAATTATTATTTTTTTAATTTTTTATCGCAAACGATTTTCTTCACTGACAAGGTCCTGTAAACGTCAGTTAACCGTTTTTGCCCAGGACTACCTTGTATCATTATCATGTAATTCAAAATTGTAGATTCATCACAAATATGATTGATTTATCAGAAACAATAATGGAGCATTTTCATTTCATATTGTATATCATATGAAAAGTAAGTTATTCAGCCAAAATATTCATGATCTTTATCATTAAACTATGGCTCATACAGTGTGGTCATATCTTCAAAAATAAGGCTAAGATAGCACCAGAGAGCATCTAAAACCCTAAAGCTTCCAGGGCCCTTGGGCGGGCCCTGGACCCCGGCCGCAAGGGACTTCGCGCTTCGCGCTCGTGATGTGCGCTTTGCGCACATGGTGATGTGCGCTACGCGCACAGAGATTTTTCTTTTGCAATTTTAGTAGCCTCCTGTAAATCATAAATAGCCTGCTATCAGAAAAATTAACAAGAACCCTGAGACTAGTGAACTTGTTTCTCAATATTATAAAGCACCCACGATTTTCTGGATTTTTAATTCAAGCCGTATATCCCATTCGTGTATTATTCAACATGGATTATGGCAGCTCACATGCAGAGTTTTACACTCATAACATGCTACAGTGTTAATAGGGTTTTAGGCTAAATTAGTATTTTTAACAACTTAATTAACAATCATCTTTCCTAAGCCTGATGTCAAGTAAATACTAGCCAATGTATAGCATATAATGCAACACAACACTGCTGACATTGTGATATGCAAGCAAGTAAAGACACAGTCTATCACCTCATCTCTATCATAATAACTCTTTTAACACATAAGAGGCATCTCGACAATGAAGGCCTATTCCATGGACTCAGCACTTATTAGCATGTAGATAAAAGAAGATTTTATACAGAAATGTTTAATTATCTTTAATATTTTTAATGTTTACACAGTAATCATCTTTAGATTATAAACAAAAAAATAAACAAAACATGGATTGTAGAAAGTATACAAGCATACTTACGTCTTGTCTGCCAGCTGATCTCCCTGGAACAAACAAAAAAAATCAAAATGGTTACAAAATGTTGACTCCTCAAGATGAACAAGTTCTCTCATTAGAGCAGAGTGTAGCTTTATTATCATAGTGTCATGAACATGAATGCTTTTAGATGGAGACATATTACATGTACACACAAACCATTCAAAAATGGTCCGAGATGTCTGACTTTTATCAGACCTTTGAAAGATGGTTTGGACTACAGCCTTTAGTCCACACAGACGTGATCAAACTAATGAATGGTCATTGGGAGGAGAGGGTTTGAATTATCCATGTGTGTGTTACTACACATCTTCACATTACACAGAGCTTCACACTAACTGTTTTCAAAGGGGTCTGGATTGCAAATTGTCATGACATCTCTGCTAGAGCAGCTGGCTAAAATTTAGAAATTTCAGGGAGGGGGGGGGGGGGAGGGGTTCGGACTTGGATTTTGGGTGACCTATTTATGCCCTGGGTCCATCTTAGTGTTCAGCCCTGCATTAGGTATTCAACTATTTCAAAACATCTACATATTACTACAAGCCGCCAGAACATAAGGATTATACTACCATGAATTTTTGCTGAGTTTTAAAAAAATGCATGTTATCATCCAACATGGATAACAAAAAAGAAAAGTGCAAAGAAAACAAGGAAGGGTTACTAGGGTAAGAAAATCTTGGAAGTGCTTACTTGGTGTAGCCTTTCTAGATGTGCCTTTGGCACCTGATCCATCTATGATAACTGTGTTTGGATCTGCACCTTCTCCAATCAAGGCCTGCAAAATATAAGTATAATTATTTAGAACGAGTTGGAAGAAAAAGAGTGATTTACAATACAGATTCAGAGGTCTATAAGAAGGGAATCCTAACACTGCACATTGCTAGACAATACTTTTACCATCTCCTACATAACTGTAACATAAGTATACATAAGGTGTTAAAAAAAGATGTTGTTTTGCCCTTTGCGACGGACACCAAAATCCCCAATTCTCACTCTTCTTCTGCCCTAGATTCGAAATCCTGCTAGCATAAACAAGTAGACCGGCCTTGTGTATGTGTATATACCATGCACTGCACCAGCTGGAAACCAGCGTGTGACGTGTACTATGTCGCCATGTTTTTTGTTTTCCCTTGGGCGACGTTCCCGGTTTTGAGTTTGTTGGCGATGGTCGGTGTTTTGAGAGAAAAAACAAACAAAAAACATGGCGGCAGAGTAAACGTCACACGTGCATCCAACTGTATGCCTGGACGTGTCCACGACACTTAATTAAAGGCTTATGCACATCCTTCATTTCCACCTCTACCCTACCACATAAATGAGATTAACATCCGTTTGTCCTCGTATCCCTAGTGCCATGGTGAATTCCAGAGTCCGATGGAAATAAGCTTCATTGGAGGATATTGTTTGAAGCATACATCATACAAAACAAAGAATTTCTTGTGATATTTTTATCTCATTTGAAGGTTTTGACGCTACTTGTAACAGAGGATCTTTCTAAAATGATGAAATTAACAGCAGTTAAACCACTTTCAACAAGGTGGTTTTATTGTTTCTTAGGAGATGGCCAACTTTCCAGATTATGACGCTCAGCCACAGAGATGCGAACCTTCATCAACAACAAAAAGTTATCTTAAAAGGAAAAAACATTATTTTTTATAAAAAAAAAAAAAATGGTATTTTTCAATAAAAACTCTCTCACCATAACATATTGCCCAATCCAGCAGCTTCAAAGAAATAGGCGATTATGTAAAATGATGTTTTATAACATGAAGTGTTAATGACCGGTCATTAGTAAAATTATGTGTAAGGCAAAATAAATGCCTGGCTTACATGCACGCTCTCATTTGATAAGGATCTGCTTTATAATCTTATAAACAATGATAATTGATACGGAGGATTAGCTGCAAAACGTACATGTCAGGTGCACATACGCGTGTACGTGTACGTCTGTGATAGACCAGAGTCATCACAGGTTTTGCCGAACCTGGGTTTGACTTTGACTTGAAAAATTAGGGCAGGAACCAGGTCCCCGGGAATTTTCACCACTGACACTAAAAATTGTGTGCATGCTAAGTAAGGCTGTGCACAACCGTGTAATGAGGTACCCGAGTACACTCCCAGGCTTACAAGCCAATACTCGAATATTCGGATGCCATGTTTTTTAATTTTTTGTTTTGCCACCACCATACCAGGGGAGCAGTATCCCAGGTCCGTCTCCGAAAACTCACGCAGTTTTACTTCGAGTTGCAGTTGAAGGCGCTGCTTAAATAATAATAAAAATAACAGTAAACAATGCTGTTTTAACAACCAAAGATGGCAGAATAATCCATTTTCCTCCGAGTCCAAACAAAAATCCGGACATTTGGTCCCAGTTTCTGAGTGGTGAGTTTGACAGTGATTGACTGGGAAACATTTTTACCAACGGTACCATGCCAGCGCCTGGCGCTCTCCCTGGGTAAGCTTCGGCCTGGACAGTGCCAAGTGACCAGGATTTTTTTTTTTTTTGCGGCCGAATATTCGAGTACGAGAAATCGTACTTGAGTAGTTGTCAACAGTGCGAGTACTCGACCTTTCGACTACTCGTCGCAGCCCTAATGCTAAGATTAAGTTGCTGTTGTAATAATGCCAGGGAAAAGACTTTAAAAACAATTAAATAATCAATTTAATTAAATAAAGATGCTTTAAAAAATAAATGGATATCGTTTCAGTTGATGGTAGGTGTTTTTTATCGCTCTAAAATTGAGGCTCCAACAGTGCAAGACAGGAATCATGCTTCGAGGTACTGAGTGCGTTCAGAAAAGGAAGTCAAAATATGACCACCTGAACTCATATAATGTGAAAGTCTGTGTACAATTACTACAAAGTCAATGTAAAATGCATTGAGAAAATCATCTCGGAATCCGTTTTTCGCATCATATGAAACGTCTGCGAAAATTAGTGCTGTAACATCACAGATATCTCCAATTCCGTTTAACCGCCAGTCAAAACCGGACGGTTTTCTGTTAAACAATTTTTTTTTTTTTTAATTTTAAAAAAAAACTAAAACAAACTTAAAAAAATTTTAATTTTTTTTTTTACCGACTCTGTCGGCAGCAAGCCAGGTCCGTGAGAAAAAGCGGGAAGGACTTTCATTTAGCTGCGAAGTGCATTTGAAGGCGCCGATTTGTGCTTGTGAACTTGCCACAAATAATAAAAGTAACAATGTCGTTTTTAGAAGAATGTGTAAGATCATTAATGTAAATTAAAAACAGAAGGGTACCTAGGATAGAACCTTGTGGAACACCATTTTTTATAGAAAAAAAATTGAGGAATTATTATTATAAACTACATATTGAGATCTATTACAAAGATTACTTTCAAACCAAGATGACTGACAAATTTGAGTGTTGTTCTAGTTTCGAGTGGTGAGTCAACACACAGATTACTGAGCTGGGAGACATTGCCAGGCATAGTGCCAGGTGGAGGGGCATACATCGAAACTTTTTTTTTTTAAATTTAAAAAAAAAAAAAAAAAAAAAAATTTAATTAAAAAAACAGGAAAACGAAACCGTCCAATTGAAAACGGAATCCGCCATGGGTGGTCGCATACCGGACGGTTAAACGTTTGATTACAGCACTAGCGAAAATGATCGTCTTTGTAAACGAGGACCAATGCGTCCTCAAAAACAAGGATCGTCTGCAAAACAAGCAGATGTTCCATATCTTTGATCGGCACATTGGCGAAGCAAAAACGGTTTCCGGGATGATTTTCTTGATGCATTTTACAATGACTTTGTACAGAAACCTTCACATTATGAGCAATAAATCCTTGGGAAGACGGACAACCCATAAAGGTAGTCGGTCAACTAGGGTTATTTGCCCCTGGGGAATCCAAATTTGGCATAGCCAGCGGGCGGTTAGGTAACCGAAACCTGCAGAGCACCGATGAAAAAAAACGTCCACGAAAATGCAGACGATCCTTGTTTACGAGGACGCATTTTGTCCCCGTTTATGAGGACGATCCTCATTCTCGGACCAGCGCCCCTACTGATTATGAACGATAAATCCTTGGGACGGACAACTCGTAAAAGTAGACAGTGAACTGAGGGTAGGTCTATTTTACGACCAAAAAAAGACGTCCATGAAAAATCTTCATTTCCGTTATTATTTTTCCTCGGTTATTTCGATGATCCTTATTCTCGGACGAGTGGCCTTATTGATGATTAGAAGTGTTCTTCAAATGAACTAGATGGAATTCGACTGCGCACAGTCGAAAATGATGCCTCCGTCATAGAGCAATTTTACAAACCGAAACGGAAGAAATTTTTCAAATTCAAGTTCAATTGTAATCCATTAACATGTTCTCAGAATATCATGATTACAAGCAATTTCTCATAAACATATATGACCCTTTGATCTTTGACCTCATGACCCTAAAATCTACTCAGTTCATTGGCTCTGCAAGATTTCCTGAGTTAAATAGTAATCCATCTGTCAGTTCTAATGAGAATGCGTCCACAAGCTATTTTTGCATACATAATGAGCCCATGACCTTTGATCTTATGAACCATTCATTGGCTCTGCAAGATACATAAATGATCTAAGTTTGGCAGGAATCCATCAATCTGTTCTAATGATAATACGATCACAAGCTATTTTTGCATACATAATGAGCCGCATGACCTTGACCTTTACCTCATGACCCCAAAATCTAATCAGTTCATCAGCTCTGCAAGTAACATACATGACCTAAGTTTGGCAGGAATCCATCAATCGGTTCTTGAGATAAGGCGATCACGAGCTGTTTTTGCATACACAATGTGCGCCGTGACCTTTGACCTCGTGACCCCAAAATCTAATCAGTTCATTGGCTTTGCAAGATACATACATGACCAAAGTTTGGCAGGAATCCATCAATCGGTTCTTCAGATAACGCGATCACAAGCTGTTTTTGCATACATAATGAGCCCTGTGACCTTTGACCTCGTGACCCCAAAATCTAATCAGTTCATCAGCTCTGCAAGATACATACATGACCAAAGTTTGGCAGGAATCCATCAATCGGTTGTTCAGATAACGCGATCACAAGCTGTTTTTGCATACATAATGAGCCCTGTGACCTTTGACCTTTGACCTCGTGACCCAAAATGTAATCAGATTGTTTTCCTATAGTGATACACACTATCACTAAGTTTGAAGTTTAAATCTCCAGTGGTTCTTGAGATATCATGATAACAATCTCAATACAAGGAATTTCATAAGTTGACCTCTGTGACCTGTGACCTTTGACCTACGTACTCCAAAATCTAATCAGATCGTCTTCCTATGGTGATAAATACTATTCCCGAGTCTTAAGTTTAAATCTTAAATGGTTCTTGAGATATTGTGATAACGGTCAAACGGGACGGACGGACGGACGTACGGACGGACGGACGGACGTACGGACGGACGTACGGACGTACGGACGGACAACCCGAAAACATGATGCCTCCGGCACCACCTTCGGTGGCGGAGGCATAAAAATATTATTTCATCTAAATTTGGTCGGCAATCCTATACTTTAGTGTGTTTTATTATTTTGGGTTTCTAACTTCAGTTAACAGCTCTACGTGCATATCATAGGGTTAGGGTTAGGGTTAGGATTAGGGTTAGGGTAGGGTTAGGATTAGGGTTAGGGTAAGGGTTAGGGTTAGGGTTAGGGTTAGGGTTAGGGTTAGGGTTAAACTGAAGTTAGAAACCCAAAATAACAAAACACACTAAAGTATAGTAAGGATAACCATTTGGTCTTAAAGTAGGGTGTCTGAACGATTTTTCAATTTTCAATTTGGGATCGTTTTTCACCATTTTTGTTTGATATTTGAATAAAAAATGATATCAGAATAATACATTTCAAATTTCAAGTCTCACCGATGTTTCTATCAAAAGTAACAGCCCCTCCAAAACGCTGGTATATTCATATCATTTTGGTCAAAATCGACGAAAAAGACGTCCACGCAGAGTGATGTTGTTTTGCTAAATTTAGCCAAACAGCTGTATCGCGCGATATGCAAGCGTATGCATATCGTACGCATGCTGCTAAGCCAATCCGCGACTTGCAGCTTGAGCTACGCTGTCTCCGTGACATGTGCCATTGACTAGTATGGTTGGCGTTCGTCGCACAAAAAACCCGGAAGTGAATGCACGTTATAGTCAATGGCAATATCGCGGAGATGTCTCCGCGATATTGCCATTGACTATAACGTGTATTCACTTCCGGGTTCTATGGCGGGAACGGCCACCCATACTTTCATTCACTATAAGCGCACATGTTACGCGATGTAACCATGGTTTGGACTGAGCGGAGCTCACGCCTCCCTAATTAGCTGATTCCAAAAATGTGGGAAGGGTATTTTCAAACTGTTATAACAAATGATCCCTTGGGGCTAGCGAAAAAAAAAGCATCTGGATATTATCCTTACGTCTAGCCCTGCTTAAGCCGCGGGGTGGCAGCTCAGGAAAGTGGCAAATTTTGGAGCTAGGATGCAAACAACATTTCAATCGCTGTTTTGACCAAGATATTTTTAGAATTCTGGGGGTGGCCCCCGATGGGGAATATGGAGAAAAACCTGCTCTTTCATATGACACCTCATTTATTGAGTTTCACCTTCAGGATCATTTGTTATAAAGGTTTGAATTTCAAATTTTTTCATAAAATCATTGACCAATTTTGGATGGTCGCGCAATGCACGTAGACCACATAGGGAAGCGTACAATCTCTATGGGAAGGGTTTTAGCACACAACATTGGGTGCGCGATCAGACACCCTACTTAAAGTGAACAAAACTCGTAGCATCTCATTCATCTCGGTCCGGCCGAAATCGAACCAACCAACCAACCCAAAAAAGCTCTGCTAGCTCTGGACAGTGACTCACAAGATCTACAGCCTTTTCACACACAGCTAAAATTCTATAAACATGATTAGTATAAACGTGTTTGAAACGTGTTTAAACTAATCACGAGCCTTTCACACACAGAAATTTCGTTGCGATCGTTAATCGTTTCGTGATTAACTACTGCTCGTAAAATGCGCAGTAGAGCCATTGCGCATTGAAGGTCAGGTCATATCAAACAGAGCGGTCGCTCCATCCAGTTTAAACACGTTTAAACACAAAAAACCTTTCACACACAAAATGTCAAGCTCTTTAGGTCTGGATACGAACTTCGTATCGGCAGCCTGCTTTTAGGGGCGTATGCATCGCGACTTCGTATCTATCCCAACATCATATAAACGATATTCACACTGGGAAAATGTTTCTATAAACATGTTTAAAACTGTTGAGTGATTCTCATCATCTCTGGAAACGATGAATTTTAGCTGTGTGTGAAAAGGCTGATAGAGGTCTACCGTATACCGTCTATCTATGCAATGCCCAGCCCGCGCATATTTTTTTTACACAACTGTTTAGCCACTTTAGTCAAATATACTGTGCAAACGACTAGAGATAGAGTCTAGCATTACCCTTAGCAGTTTTGTTCGATTGCTAGAGCTGTACATGTGTACATAATACATACTCGTTATTTGTTTCGGATTAAATCTATCCTCTCTTCTCTTAATTTCATTATGTATTTCTGTGTTCTCCTTCAATCTATCCTCTTCTCTTTTGTCATGTATTTCTTCTTTTTCTTCAATCTATCCTTTTTTCTCCTTCGTTATAGACCTATAATTTCTTTGATTTTCCTTCAATCTACCCCCCAGTTCTCCTTCGTTATGTATTTCTTTGTTTCTCCTTCAATCTATCCTTTTCTCCTTCGTCATCTATCTGATAGATTCCCTTCCTCCTTGTATTCCCTGTTTTAGTCTACATCTATGATCCTCTTAGCTCTTCAATTATGTATTTCTATGTGTTTCCTTTGACTTATCCTCTTCTCTTTCCTTATATGTATTTTCTTGTTTTTCCTTCTCCATATCCTCTCAACTATGTGTTCCCCTTTCTATCATCTTCCCTTCCCTGGGTGTACGTGCTTGCGCTTGCACATAAGTGCGCTGACGACTTAGACTCTTTTACCAGAGCACTTCTTGGACATTTTTCGCGAAAATGGCTAAACAGTTGTGTAAAAAAAATATGCGCGCCCAGCCCATACGGACGGACTGTGCGGCATGCAGCATGCAGTGTGCAATGTAAAGTTCACTCACTCTCACTCAGTCCCAGCATGTTTTTTATATTTAAGACACATTTTATAAAATTTTACCTTTTGCAATCTCTCGACAAGTACAGCCTTAACTCCACTCTTGTCTAAGCCTCTCTTTTCAAGCTCGAGTCGCAAATCTACAACTCGCAAATCTGCGATTTTCCTTCGAACAAAATTATCATCGTAAGACGCCATGATGACGATAAGCGCTACTTTTAAATCACGTGATTATACGTCAGAGAATGATACATAACCCGGATGTTATTTTCAGCCTAGCTTTGTCCTCTCAAAAAAAATTGCCAACTTTACTTTGGGCGTATAATAATGGGGGGGGGGGGGGGGTCAGTTACCCCCAAATAAAATTCAAACGTGGTTTATTTCCAATTCGATACCAATGATTTACAAATGTTGCTGAAATTACATAATTTCCAGGTTTTGTCCTCACTTATTTGCCTATAGGCGGCATTCAGGGTCGGGGAGGGGGCACTATAGCTGACCCCCCACTTTTTCAGATACCCCCACATTGCCCCTTTTACATAGGAAAAATGCCCCTTTTCTTTTGTAATAGCTGTCCTTTTCCTCTCTTTTCATCTCTAGTGAGTACCTCTTTTCAGCTACGTGAAATTCCCTTTATTTTTACCCTTTTTTTTAACTTCGACTCGTGCCCCTTTTCCTTTTTGATAAGTGCACTTTTTCCTTCGGATAAGCCTCCCCCCTTTCAAAATGCCTCTCTTAACATCTGATAAATTCCCCTATTAAAATCTTATAGGTGCCCTTTTCCTTCAACAGATAGGCCAATTAAGTTCCTTCTCACAAGTGCCTTTTTCATCTCTGTAGAGTTTCTTTTTAGGAGCAAGAAGTACCCTTTTCACTTCATGTCATGTGCACCTTTTCTTTTCTAATAACTGTCCTTTTCCCTTCGGATAAGTGCCTACTTTTCCTTTCTCGATAACATGCACCCCTAATTCAAGGCGACTTGGAGCCCCTTTTCTTTAATTTTCGCTAGAGCTCGCTTGCGTCTTTATTTTATAACATAACTTTTCCGTCGATCATTAGATTGTGATTAAAGACATTGTTTGACAATGTTAAATCGGTGTTAACAGTGTCTGTGATATGGTGTAATATTTAAGCCCTAAATAAAATTTGCGCTTCAAAATGATCATGAAGTGCCTCAAAAAAGTAAACAAATCTTTGAGTGACCGGTTTACCATGCATACTCATTTTTCCCGATAGACTGTAGTGACATGATGAATTCAATTGTTCTCGGGGGGGGGGGGGACCCGGGGGAAGTAGTCCTCGGGGAGAGGGAGCACGGTCCTGGGGGAGGGGAGGGGTTCCAGGTACTCGATTCATTATTATGGGAAAATGTTCCTTAAATATCCCCCCTTCATATAAGACAGTGCCCTTTACATTTATATTAAGAGCCCCTTTCTCTTCTCATGGGTATGAGTACATGTCCCTAATTATGGGGCCCTATTAAAACATAATAGTTGCCCCTATTCTTTGTTATAAGTGCAACTTTTTATTTTTGATACGTGCCCCCTTTCCCCGTCCAATAAATGTCATTTTCCTTCTAATCAGTGTCCCTGTTCACTTTTTATAAGAGCACCTTCCCCTTCTAACATATTAAGTATAATGCGGCCTTTTTCTCTGATAAATGCTCCTATTAAAATCTGATAGTGCCCCTTTTCCATTCTCATGAGTGCCTTCTTTCTAGAGCGTGCTAATTCTACTTTGACACGTGCTTCTTTTCTTTTCTAATAAGAGTTCTTTTCCCTTCTGATAAGTGCCCCCTAACCCTTTCTCCGTAACATGCGCTCCTAATTTAAAGCGACTATGAGCAGATTTTTATCCAGTTAATTAGTCCCACCCGGGAGTCCCACCCCCCCCCCCTCCCCCTCAAGCTCGCTCGCTCGCTGTACACGCTCTCTAACTTATAGTTGATGTAATTATGTAACCATTATGGTATAAGTGTAGTTGTTTATTCCGAAATCCAAGGGGTGAACCCGGGGGGGGGGGGGGGGGGGGTGAACAAGACTTTGTCATGACTTTCAGTATTCCAATCCTGTCAGACCGAATTATTACGAAACGTTTGTCCAACCTATAGCAACGCTGATGCATATAGTCTGCACTTGGCGATCACTCCGTAATGCATGGGTTGAAATTAGCCTAGGTTAATCAACCGAATTTTCAGATTTTTAGTTAAATTCTTGACCGATTTCAAAGTGCTTTATATAGAAAGAAGAGTCCACTAGTGAACTCCGATGCCAGTGTGCAAGGTTCTTCGGATGCGGGAACTGGTGATTACGAAAGCATTTTAGGTTTTGTTTATATCACTCTTCACGCAGGGGTATCATGAGGTATCAATTTCATATTTCTTAATTATCACCTATAGCCTTTGAGGCGAGGTCGACATAAACGATCAAATACGGACGTCCCCCTGACGTACATATATTTCGATATAAATTGAGAAATTATCATAACATTTGTTTCTCAATATAGCAAACTTAGTAAAACTTTCTTATTCACATTTGACTTCTTTCACATCGAATGCTAATTGTTTCTGATTGACGCTCCTGATTGACCCTTCCCGACAGAGTAGAAGGCCAATATATGTAATTAAGATATTTCAGATATGTATACAGCTTCATTCAGGTTAATTGTTTCAGATGTATGATCCAAAGTTTACTTTCCCGACATAGCAACAGTCTGTTAGTTGCTGTCTATAAAGTGCAAGGAAGATGTTCGCGCATGTCCTCTGGTCGTCAAGCCTGCTCAGGTTACGTGCATGCATGTAGGCGCATTTACACCCCCCCCCCCCTTTACCTCCAGCTCCAAACCGATTCGCTTCTTGGTCTTGAATGAAGGATAAATGATAGTTATATGAATTTGGATAAATATAGATCCAGTTCATAGCAGGCCTATACTTACTTTTAATCGGGTCATGCAAAAATGCGGCAACTTCTTGAGTCTACCAGCCAAGTTCTCAAATGAATCTGCCATTGCTTATGGATGTATCTTCCCAAAGTATCTCGTGACTAACTATTGCTATCATCTGTTATGAGTGAATATATTTCTGTTTCAGAAGGAAAATGCAATTTGCATTAATTAGTTAATTCTTTTTTGACCAGGCCACTGACAAGCATTCCTTTCGAGCATCACTCGTAACAATAGGCCATTTTCGTAATGTAACAAAATGTATACGCAAGTGCCTCGATACGTTTCATTCACCTGTTACGAATAATTGTATTTCTATAGTCAGAAATGCAAATTAGGTAATTACGTGTTTTTAGGCAGGGCAAGCCATAATGTTTTTCCTACCTAGCAACAATTCTATACAATGAGAATTCTGACTATTGATGTACATTTATTCGTAACAGGTGAATGAAACAATAGCTAAGGCGCTTCACAAAGGCATATGCATAACTTTGGTTACAATACGAAAATGGCATTGTTGTAGAGGCAATCATAACATTTGATTTGTGGAGTTGGTCTATATTAAACTGGTGCCGGGGGGGGGGGGGGGGAAGAGGACACTTTTTTTTTTGTCTCGAAATTTGAAAAATTGACATTTTGCTCCGTTTGGGGGGGGGAGATAAGGTCAACTTTTTTAGGTCAGCCATTGGTATAATTTTTTTTTTTAATATAATTTAAAAAAAATACAAAATACACACATCTAAAATACCAAAGGGGGTGGGAGTCAACCCCCCCCCCCTTGCGTACGCGCCTGGGTGCAAGCATAATGTACTGTATATTCTGTATTTCAATATAAGTGGAATATGATATGTATATGCCCACAAGTCATGATTGCTAAAATTATGTCGGACACGTATCAAGCAAGCTTTAGGAAAACTATCAGATCACATGTTTGTCCGTCAATAGGCCATTTTCGTAGTGTAATCAAATTTAATCCACAAATCCTTATTAAGTGCCCGTTACAATTTATTTAATTCACCTTTTACAAATAATATTATATTACAATAGAAGGTTTTCAAAGCATGAAATACCTGGAAATTTGTTTCAATGTTTAAAGAATAGCTACGAATTCAGTGGTGGAACCGAAGCAGGGGCGGCGGAGCACTAACAAAAAGGGCACTTTCTGAACAAGGGCACCTACAAAGGTAAATCTCATAGCGAAAATATACAATTTGTTTAGACATTGGTATAATTTATACCCCTACATTATGATAACATTATCAGGTATTATTTCAATATTTGTTTCTCTTTATACATCGATACAAGAAATTGTTTTATAAGCATCATTCTTTGCAGTTTGTTTGTTTGTTTGTTTGTTTGTTCAATTTATTTGAGCACGGTGGCATACTACATACAGTCAATGGCTGTTCTTCAGCATGGCCGTGCAATTGGGTGTAATGATCTGAATATTCGTTTGTGTGCGAGGGGAAAGAAAAGATTTGTGAGGTCGCAATGCGAAAAATTATATCTTATATAAAAGAATGAAAAGCCCAATCCTGATGGTGTTATAAGCACACTCTCATAACGGAAGACTGAAAAGTGCTTTGTCCAGTAACATAGTTATATCATTTATAAATGCGATCTTGCGTAGCGAGCGAGCTTTGGGGGAAATTACTGATAGTCACTTTAAATTAGGGGCACGTGATGAGAGAAAAGGGGGCGCTTATCAGTGTGGATATTAGAAGAAAAAAAGGAGCACGTGTCAAAGTACAAATGGTAATTATCGGAGGTAAAAATGGTGCACATGGAAAGAGGCACTCACCAGAGATGAGAAAAAAACACTTATGAGAATGGGAAATAGACATTTGTCGACGGAAAAGGGGCATTTATCAGAGGTGAAAAGGGGCAATTATGAAAAGGGGATAGGTCCATTATTAGAAAGGAAAAAGGGCACGTATCATTGATTGTTAAAATGGAAATTATTAGAGGTGAAAAGTGGCACTAATCGCACCTAAAAAGGGGCACTGACCAGATATGAAAAGGGGCACTTAGGTACTTATAATAAAGGAAAATATTCATAATTTTGTTGAAAGAAAGGGGGCATCGATCAGCTTTTAATAGGGGCATTTATCAGAAGTGAAAGGGGGATTTTATGAAAAGGGGGAAGTGGCTCTTATTTAAAAAGAAAAGGAGAATTTAGTAGAAAGGAAAAGGGGCACTTTTCAAAGTAAATTAGGCAGTAGTTAGAGGTGAAAAGGGGCACTCATCAAAGATAAAAAAAGGCACTTATAAGGAAGGAAAGGGGTACTTGTCAAAGTAAAACGATCATCTCTTAGATTTTAATAGGGGCAATTATCGGAGGTGAAGGGGGAACTTATCTGAAGTAAAAGGGAGCAACTTCTGGTGCCTGAAAAGGGCCATTTACCAGGGATGGAAAGGGGGCACTAATGAGAATGAGTAGGAACACTTTTCATAGGTAAAAAGGGGCATTTATGAGAAGGGGAAGGGGGTCTTTTTTAAATTGGGGCACTTATCATAAGGAAATGGGGCACTTATTAGAAAGGAAAAGGGGTGCATATGAAAATAAGAGGTGTATGTCTATCCGATTTAAAAAGGAGGTACTTATTCAAAGGGGAAGGAGCACTTCTGTAACAAAGGAAAAGGGGCACTTGTAAGTTTAAAGGGGGCACCTCTTAGATTTGAAAAGGGCAATTATCAGAGGTGAATGGGTACAGTTATCTAAATTGAAAAGGGGCACTCTTCATACCTAAAAAGGTGCACTTCCTAGAGATTAAAATGTGCACTTATGAGAATGGAACGTGGACACTTATTGCAAAGGGACATGTGTCAAAATAAAAGCGGCACTTATAGGAGGTGTAACAGTGAAGGGGTCTTTTTACAAAGTAAAAGGGGCACTTTGAGGGTATTTGGAGCGCCGCCTCTGATCCGAAGGGTGGTGACTTATATATATCCCCCCCCCCCCGAGAAACCAGATCTTGCTTTCCTTAGGTACACAATATATACAAAATGTGCCCTACAGCAATTCCAGCCCCCCCCCCCAAAAAAAAACACTTGAATTTTCCGGCTTGTGACTCCTCTGAGCCCTCCCCCCCCCCCCCCCCCCCTCCTGCAGCCAGAGAATCATGGACCCGTCACTGTGGAAGTTCATACATCTGGGATTCCTGTTTTTCCTCGATCTATCTTCTCATTGTGTAATATGAAGACAATTCATAACATGATGATTATCGAGATGGCACTCCCTTGAATGCTGAGTTTGCCCACTTATATATATCCCTATGTCCATGGGTAGTCCTGATTTATGTATCGCAATCATCTAGATTAACAAAGACATAATTAAGACATTTGTCAATCAAGTTTTCCATTATACTTTGTGTAGATACACCTACATGAGAAAACAGAAATTCACAAGCACTCTGGTATTCTACAGTCTTGATTGTTAAATCTTACATCTTTATTTTATTATACTTAAGTTTGTTTCATGTACATTGCATGTGTAATAATTCACAAAATATGAGCTCATATACAAGCTATAAATAAACAAACTCAAATAGTACAAATCAATAGGGTGCTACATATCGAGGGCGTGGGGTATGAGTCTCTGACTCACAGTTCAAACCTATATCATTTTATCTTACTAATCAACAAAATAGTCAGCCAACAGTTTTTGATTAGAAGGAGGGTTGGGGGCAAGGGACCCCTTCTATAGAAAAGGGGCATCGATGGGAGAAAAAATAAAGAAGAAGAACGAGCAACAACAACAACAACAAAAAAAATTTAAATAAAAAAATCCCTTAACTCTTTCTTGGCCTCTGCTGACCAGTGGAACGAACAGATGACTGTCACATATGGGTTTTATCCCACGTTCATGTACAATTGTATAATGCACTCCAAACAATGATAGTTCATGGATTTGAACCATGGCAAGTAAAGAGTTAATAAAAGGATGGTGTATTCAGTACTACTTTATACAGAGTCTTACAGACATATCATGCATGCATGATGTCGTACTACTCATATTGGCTTATGACTGCATGTTCTTATACAGACATAAAACTACCACTACATTCATATTGACAAGTTATACAGAAAATATCATTCTTAGGAAAAATCACAACCTCATTCAATATAAAAAGATATCATGTACACAATTTCAATTACTATCCATCAATGAAAATATTATTTTCAAAGCTATTAATTGTTTAACAAAATGACTGGCAAAAACAACAAGAAGTTTAAATTACTTTAATAAATAATAAATGGAAACTTATACAGCAGGTGAATTTAAACAAAGTTTTTTTTTTCTTTTGCTAATGTTTTCTTTTTATTGCAAACAAAGGGCATTTTTCAAGTACATGTAACTGAATTAGGTACAAAATTATTAAACCATTACACACAAAAATAACAGAATTACACTGAGATATACTAGTCTGTTATTCTAAATATTGGTAATTATATCCAAATTATTATTTTTTCAATTTTATTAATGCCACGTCACAGAGCAATCATCAAGAATGATGTTATTTTGTTATTCCTGCATCATTGGTTACTTTAAAACATACCGATAACAAATAGGCTTAGTTGATCATGCACATCATGTCCCAATCAACAAAACACATTTTCCTCAGGCTCTATATATTTAGGGATACCGTGTAGCTATACTACTACAAATTCAATATATGAGCTTTAAATATCACTCCTAAAAAAGTATATTGCAAGTTTAAATACACTAGCAAATAGTGAGGCACCTGTACAGTCATGTCCTCATATAACATGGCCCACAGGGAAACCAAGACTGACTTGGGTTCTGTGCACGAGGGGTTTAGGTTATTCTCTATGTTCTTCATACTCAATTAATTGTTGGCCCATGCAATGCTGGGTAATGCTCTTTGAGGTTGATTTATACATTCTAGCCAGTTTGAAACTATTTCATAAAACTCAAACTCATATACTACATAATATATGATTGGAGTAATAACTTTTCATCAACGAACCTATAGGCAACTATCATTTATGCAACTGTTTATTAATTCATTTGCAAACAGCTTATACAATTTACTGTACCTTTATGACTTATGAGTGCATGATAAAATCTTATGTTCTACTTCTGTCATTACACGAAGAACACATTTCAGTTCACATTTTTCTTTCAGTACCATATGCCGTGGAACAGTGCATACCAATTATTCATACTCTGTTAAATTAAAAGCGAAGGGTCACTACATCACTTTCCTTTGTACAAGGTTTCATCTCATCTAACGTCTATGACTGCGGAAACAATAATACAGGTTTTTCAGTATTCTAAATAGCTGCTGTGCTGCCTTTTCTCACTTTGCTGCAGAGAACTTTAGAGCTAGAAGGAGCTTACTCAAAGTATTACACACAGAGTTCATGCCCTTCTGGCTCCAAACAGAAGATATGTCCACTGTCGATCTCCTGAATAAGGTACATTATATATCATACTCAAGAAAGAGTTATGAAAACATGTCTTAACCAGGCAAAGAGATGGGTTATAATTGACTCTCCTGCAAAAACAATGTTTGACAGTAGATGGCAGCCTTCCTCCTACACTGTATAGATCAGCACATGTGCAGATACAATACTGGGGAAGACGATAAGACAAGACTTTTCTTGGCTTCCATTGAGAATGTACAGCAGTGTCAACTAATTCCTTATTTTACTAAACTACTGTGCAGGTTTCATGATGGTTTGATGAGATCTAGATGTAGGCACCATCATAATCTGTTACTTATAGCTCATTGGTACCAAAACTATCATTTCTATTGGCCTTTCCAGTTCTTGACCCATAGTATTTGTATCGGAACTGGAAGTGCCTTTGCAAAATATACCCATGGCCGGTGCTGCCCTCTATGGCCAAATGCTGTAGTTGCGGTAGCGAGAACTGATAGTACATGTACCTCAACTTGGTTTCAATTTTTAACTACAATCTCAGAGAGCAAGAACATATATTACTAAGCAAGATAGACACTATTTTACAACCATATATAGCAACAAAAACACAACTATTTATATATAATTATAAAGTGAGATATAAGAAAATAGGAATTTAATGAAGAGTAGCTGCATGTTCTCATGTGGCAGCAATTTGTGGTAATCCAAATTCATCCACCAGAACCCCATCCTGAAAGAAAAAGGAGAAAAAAGTACATAAATTCCTTGTAAAAAAAAAAGACTGATTACACAGGTTTATTAAGAAATGCATGAGAAGATCAAAACAGCAACTGTTCCCGATTGTAAGCATATATGCAAACACAAGTACAGTCAAGTTTGAATAATACACTATCAAATTCTGTGAATTCTTACAACTCCAGATTTTTTGCTTCCCAGTGTCATAGTAATCTTCTAGTCTAATAGTCTTACACTACTAAAGAAAGAACCCAACTTGGTTACACAAGTCACTATTGTTTTTACAGAAAAGGCACTAACATGTTTTGAACAACAGAGTGTGTTGGCTAATCTTGCTTTATTGCAGCTACTGAAAACCAAAGAATTTGCCTGTCTTTAGTAACTGCTTTAAAGGGATTTTCAGATTAGGCCTTAGTTCTGATTAACTTGTTCAAATTAAAGATGACAAGGAATATAGATCATAGGTCACCATGCAAAACTGTACAAAACTGAGTTTAAAACCAGTGTGACTTCTAGTGCAACACAGCCGGTCTCTCAGCTTACAAGTACACAATATTTTCCTTTTTTCGGAGGGAAGTGATACAGAGCGTCCTATTATTTTGCACACTTCAGATGTGAAGCAGAAGAAGTACCGGGTACATTTTTACAAAGCCTACACAAACGCCATGCTTTTCTTGCTAATTAAATGTTATCAGACAGTCATTGAAATCACTGATATGCCACCATCACTAGCCATTGGACTAGGTCGGCACCACCCAAAAAGCAATGCCAAGTTAGCCAAAGAGTTGATATCGATACAAATATTTGTAAAAATTTGGTATTAACTATATGTTTGTAAACACCATTTTCACAATTTCTATGTAGGAATGTGAAATTTCTTATATTGTAACTCATTATTATGAATGAATAAATGAAAAATTAAAAATAAACTTGTGACAGTGAAGAATGTTAATAAAGGGAGTAGCCTTGGCAGATCAGTGACCTTTGCTTCTTCGTCACATCCACTTCAACACAGTGTACTCACCTTCTTTGTATCATCTATATTATTTAGTATTGATTTGTTGAAGGTCACTGACCTGCCAAGGCTACTCCCCATATTAACATTCGTCACTGTCACAAACTAAACCTATTTCATGTTTAGTTATTGCATTTTTTTCTAAAGAATGTAATCTTCTATAAAAAAACACATGAAGTTTAGGGCTATTTAGAGTTCTAGTGTTTATCCAGCACTTTCTCTCTTGAACCCATTTGCTACGCGATGTCACCTTGATCCAAATGTTGGGTTTTTCCCCGGCCCCCACACTCAGTGTTATTTAGGGGAATGCGTATGCATGTTCCCTCCTTTTGAAAACACCCCCCTAAGTCCGGTGTGTAAAGTCAATACAGGCTGGATTTGTGTGTACTACGAGCAGGACTTGAGTGCGTGAAAATTACCCCTTTACCGGACATTTTGGGAACACGCCTGCGGTCCCTCCAACCCCAGAGTGGGGGGGGGGGGGGGGGGGGGGGGTGGGGATTTTTCCTGACACCTGTCATTCTTACCTGTGTTGATTCAGCACCAGGCAATGCATCGGGTGCTGCAGGTGCATTAACGGCTTCATCCAGGTAAGATGTATCATCATCCATCAACATATCATCACCAAGGGCTTCCAGTTCTACAACAATTAAAAATAATTTGATTTCAATTATTTAAACATATTTGTGGCTTACACCTGGTAAATAAGATCGATTGATCGATCTGTATTAAAAAACAGGTCAGAAAAAATCTTGGAACCAGCGGGACTTGAACCTGCATCTACTGCTTGCCGGGCAGCGACTCTACCACCAGGACATCACTGGTCCATGGCACAGTCACGATGAACTAGAAACAAATACCCATGCTCTCAAATAGCCACAAATATGTTTAAATAATTGAAATTTCTCCAAGGAAGCATTACAATTTGATTTCAGTCAGTCAGTGTTGTATGATTGAATTGAAACAGTTATCAACCCGTGCTAATTAGGATCTTGTGAAAGACAGAGCGATACATTCATGTCTGTTAATCACTTGTCAGTTATCACAGCCAAATTTCATCTCTAGCATGTTCATGCCTAGTTTGAATTGGACCTCTAATCATTCAAAGACTCCTAAGAGTCCTAACACACATCATTATGGTAACAATCATTAACAGGTATATCATGCATATTAAAAACACACCAAAAATCTCATGAGCCATTGAATTGATTTGAATGAAATGAGCAGCTAATTCAATGATAAAGTATAATGCATAGTATAGTAATTTAGTACTGCTGTAAACATAATCTATACAAACATAATTTTCTCCAAGTAGCTCAAGAAGCATTGACATACCGTAGAAGGAAAGGAAAACACTCTTCACATGGACATATGTTTTGACAATCTGTAACAGAGTAAACATGGTGAAACATCTTCTTTTGGAGAGACTTGGTCTACTAAACAAGATAACACATAATTTCACCCACGTGTCTGTCATTATTATACATTTACGCAAACATTTTAGCTAAAATCTCACAAAGAAAAAGAAAAAAAGAAAAGAAAAAAAAAATCTTACCAGCTTCTAAATCATCCTCATCTACATCAGGTGTGGCATAACTCCTAGAGAGTGATTCTTGAACCTCATTGGCCTGTTCTAACATATCCTCCATCTCATCTTGAAGATCCTTCAGAAACACAAACAAATCAAAAAAGTTTGAGAAAGAAATTTTAAGGGCAGCATAGAGAGAGAGAGAGAGAAAGAGAGAGAGAGAGAGAGAGAGAGAGAGAGAGAGAGTGATTTCAGAATCGGCATACAACAAAAGAACTCCCACCCGTAGAGAAAAAGAGGTAACTAGCCTATTCACAAAGAGGTACTAATCTGAGCCCTTAACTAGATGATGTTATGTACCACTAATCTAAAAAAGCAATGCTTGTACAATTGTGGACAATAATAAGCCCAAGTACCCCACTAAAAGATATACCAGTAGTCATTGAAGCTATGGAGAATATACACATGAAGATAGAGATGAACCTATCATATTTAAAGTCAAAATAATACAGACGATAGAAATTGTATTTTTCTTTAAAAATCATTCAATTGTAAATGGTGACAAAGTTTTATGTGCCGGTAGATCAAGAACAAATGAAATTACTTAAGGGGCACAAATTCGCTACCAAAAGAATGCCAAGCAATTATTGATAAAGACTCTACGGACATTGTAATTTCAAAACGGTCACCGAGAGAAAAGAAAACTTCTCAATGAGTCACCAGCAAATGAGAGTCAAGCATCAAATAAAACAGGATAGAATTCCTTCTATCTAAAAACAAACTAGAATGTCACTTGTTCTCAAGTTGCGTGCCACAGATGATGGCTCTCACCTCAATTTCATCCAGGTCGACCTTCTTGAATTCCTTCTTCATTGATTTCACTCCTGTCTTCATGGCATCCACAGTGGCTTTAGTATCCTTCAGGGTCTGAGTGGCATAATTTGCTTGTTCCATGTTGAAAGACTGTTGCCTCATGTTGTCCAACTGAGATTCATACCTAGGGTTAGGAAAAAACAAACAATCGTGGAATAGTCAATTTCTGATCCTCTGTTATAATGGATAGGTTATCAATTCAAAGGTGGCAAAGTCATTTCTGGGATCACGTTGGCTTTAATTCGCTTCTTTCAAAACATTTGCTTGCTCTGAACTCTGCCATAAGTTCTCACAGAGATTTGTTGAATGTGCTGATATGGAGAAGCATAAAACACCAAACTACTTACATTTCTGCATTGAGATTAAAGTTCATTTTTCTCAATTAAAACATTCCAAAAACTTGAACGACTTATAAATCCTAAATAATGCTAATGGACCATGTGTACATGTAAACTGTATACTTACATTTTTCTCTGCTTCAAAACCCTAAGAGCCTTTTGCTTGACTGTATTCTGTCAACAAAACAACAAACAAAACATTTCTATATACATAATTGAAATACATAAATGAATATTTGGAATTTCAAATATCCGAAATTACATAGAAATTCAATATAAAGTGGAAATGTTTGTATCGTAGAAATGAAAGATTGGTTTCACTCAAATAGCTGATAAAATGTAAACTTATCCCCAAGTAGTTCCATAAATTGCATGCCATTTTTGATCAAAACCATTTTCTCCTTTTTGCTAAATGTATGTCACCTTTCATTCAAATGAATCCGAGTATAGGTCTATAACAACTTTCTCCTAACCAGTGATATCAATGTATGCATGAATACAAATTTACTGAGTTAACAACTGATTAATTTTTTTCTTTGAAAGTCTACAACACATACATGTACACATAAATAACATTCCTCTGTATGCTATATTTTGATAAAAAATAAATAACTCAACTAATGTAAGGATAATAAAAGGTTGAAATCTATCACTAACCTTTGCTGGTCCATCCCTCATACGCTTCATCTGATCTTTGTATTTCTTGAGTTCTACATCCAGCATAGAAATCTTCTTCTCTATTGAGCCTGCTCTACTGTCCACCTATAATGTATGAAATACATGTAAGACATGTGGTTAATGCACTTCAAGTGAACATTATGATCTTCTTGAACTTCAATGATGAACATTGGAAAGTTCAAAGCAAGAGATTTTGGCTTGCTGATATTTCTACATGCTTCATAATTCAAGGGATATTTCTCATTGGGAAAGCTCAGTTAAGTAATAACAATAAAAACATAATTTAAAAAATTGGTCAGTTACAATCTGCTTATTGTGATCTCTTACAATATTTCAAGTTGCCTCTCTTTTTACAGCTATGTACAAGTTCACATTTTGCCTCAGTGCAAAACTTTAACTATCATTTACCGGTAATTTTTTTAAATACAGCTTATAACTTTCCTTGAACCTGCACAGGAAAGACTGTAGTTCCAGGCATAGATCTTGATAACTTGGTTTCTTTCATTGCTCGTTTTCAATTTTCCTCCTCCTTCTTCTGTATCATCATTTCTAGACTTGTTTTTCTCCACCGACTTGTTCACATAATCATCTTAGAACTACATGTACTTCTTATATTCCATCTTTTCAATCACAAAATTCTTTTCTTCCTCCAATGCATCCTCACCTTCTGTCTCCTGTTTTTATTCAATGCTACTTCATCATCTACTACATCCATTTCATTATTACCACCCCTTTTTCTTGTTTTATCCTTATTTCAGATCATATTCAACAATCTTCAGTATTCTTCATATTTTCTGATCTTCATAGCTAGAGCAAAAGGATGCATGTTACAAACCTGACATCCGGGGCCTACCAAATTTCAATGTTTCTCTCTCTCTCTCTCTCTCTCTCTTGTACTTCTGCTACTTTTCAGCTCATTCTTTTTTTCTTCATTTTCTTATTCTGCTCCTTCTCTCTTTACTCCTCATTCCTCAACCTTCTCCACCATCTATTCTGAATACTACTATTATTCGTCCTCCTGCTCCCATCATATTTACATCTTCCTACCTTCCTCCTGTTCTTCTATTTTCTTTTCACCTTCTTCTCTATCACTTCTTCCTCTTCCTCTCTTTTATCCTCTTTCATCCTCTTTTTTTGTTGTTTCACACGTCCACTTCCCATCCTTTTTTTTTATCCTTCCTTGGCCTTGTTTCCTCTTTCTCCTCCTCCTCATTCTTCTTCTTCTTTTTCTTCCTTTTCACTTTCAGCTTCTTCTGCACTGCTTCTCCTTCTTGAACTGAAGTTCTTCTTCTCTTTTTCTTCTCCTCATCTTCCTTCTTCTTCCTCCTCTTCCTATTCTTATGTAGCTTAATTTCCTTAACCAATACGATAACTGCGTACCGGTAGTCATACACAGGGCACAGTCTAGGCTAGGGTCTACGTACGTTCATTTCCTGTAAGTGGTAAGTAAACACAGACTATAGTTTGCCTTACAAGAATACCAGTAGGTGGGACTGAAGACAGAAAACTACATTAAAGTAGAAATCTAATAGTAATACACCATCCATTCTACTCACATTTGATATGCAGTCTGTAAGATTTGGGGGAGGTTCCTTCGGTTTTCCTTTTCCAAATAGCCTGTTCATGTTGATTGATGTTTAGGTTACTTCACCAGATGAAAATGCAAGAAGTTACGAGCCGTCTACACAAAGACAAAACAAAATATTCTAAGTGAGCTGATCGATCGAAGATCTCATTGACTTCTTTTTTTTCCTCCAAAGATAATGAATTATCTAAAAACTTTAAAACATTCAATAATTAATTTTGAACGTGATATGATATTCCCCTATTTTAATAAATGGTTACAATCATGATAGAAATAATTATTTGGTCAAATATCAGACTGCATCTCTGTCATCGGTTACAAAAAATTAAACCCAAAACAATGATGACATCATTGTTTCTATTTCTGGAAATTGATAGAGGGATGACAGGCAGTCACGCCAGTCTGTGATCACCAGTCATTCATCGCCAAATACAGCCCCCCCCCCCCCCCGACCCCGAAGTACAAATGCTAGCCGTAAAAATAGTCAGACGTACAATTTCAGAGATACAAAATGGACTCATAATTATTTCATAAATGAAATACTTAGATCATTCATTAGAATCTAGTATGTCCCATTGATCTGATGGTATCACGGAATTTTGTACACCAGTATTTAGACAACTAATCGCCCTCCTTGTCTTATGATATTTTTTTGGTGGAAAAAAATAATCTCATTAAAATATCGTTATGTTGTCCCACCGAATTTCATAAGGTATTACCTACAAGATGCTACTTTGATATACATTGTTTCATGAAATGATGTTTTATAACATGATTTTACTAATTCCATTATTTATTTATTTTTACTAATGACGTTCTGCCAGGATACCGCAGATAGGCCTACACGTAGGCCTGTAATTATTTGCGCTGTGCTGATCTGAGCGTTTTTTGATGGGGGTACACCCATAAACTTGAACAAAATTAAAGGAAATAGAAGAAAAAGTGTGGTAAGAAAAGAAGAAGAAAAAAGCATTTTCTTTTTTCTTTTTTTTAATAAGAGGTTGTCATTATACTTTCTTAATGTTCCTACGACCATCTGCGTTAAACAAAAAAATTCTCATATAAAAAAAAAACATTTTGATATAACTTACCAAAGATTTTTAGGTGCACCATACAATGTTTACAATGTATTTTTTGTTCATCTTATCAATACTAATTACTATTAGCAGTGTTGCAATGCATACTTTTATCTTTTTATCGTCAATTCGTATGTAATTGTTAATTGTTGGCAAGATCCCCCCTCTCTCTTCTCCCTTAATTCTTAACCTCTTGTTGCGCTCTCTCGCTCTCGCTCTCTCTCTCTCCTTCTTCCTCTTTCTCTCTCTCTCTCTCTCTCCTTCTTCCTCTTTCTCTCTCTCTCTCTCTCTCTCTCTCTCTCTCTCTCCCTCTTCCTATTTCACTTTCTTTCTCTCTCTCTCTCTCTCTCTCTCCCTCTTTCTCTCTCTCTCTCTCTCTCTCTCTTTCCATTCTCTCTTCCTCACTTTGAATTCATATTTTATTTAAGTACATATTTCCCTTTTCCTTCTTGTTCGTATTTTTGCATTTATTTACATTATTTTGGTACAAAATTAAGGATAAACATGTGACATAATAATACGTGTACTTATAATTGCGTAAATGATACCGTTTTAAATTGTACACTCGTTTTTGAAATGCAAGTGTGCAATTCAGTATGATTCAATAAATACCATACCATACCATTTTCACTTATTTAACATGGGAAACTTGGGGTAAAAGTTAGAGTTAGATTTTAAAGATTTAAGACTCTATCGACCCCTTCAATCAAGGGTATGAGAGCACAGTGTATCTACAATACAATTACAGAAAGGTATATAAAACATAGTAAGATATAATAATAAAATACATAGACATGATATATACATTTTTATATTTCTAAAACACAATAAACATGAGCTAAAGACTAAGTTTACACTATACAATTTATAATTAATTTCTTATAAGTCCACAATATCGTGGTTTAAATATTATGAGAGAGAGAGAGAGAGAGCGAGGTACAGGTTGACCATGTTGTGTGGTATTCTCAAAAGCGGACTAACTTTAGTCCACTAATGGTTATCCTCCGACTAAGTATGGAATGAAAAGTGTCCATATAAATATTTTGTGGAATAATTTAATCTGTAATAACATAATTAATAAGCAACGAGTATAACTATGAAATAATTATGTTATCATGGTAATTTAGGGACATATCAAATTATGTTAAAATGTCTTCATAATGGACACTTGGAATTCCATACTTAGTCGGAGGATTAAAGTTAGTCCGCTTTCGAGAATACCAACCATAGTTATCATTTTGATAATTTATACATCTTTCCCATTGTTTTCATTTCCCTATGTACATTCACTACATTGATTACGTGCAGAGAATGGGGGGGGGGGGGGGCCGGGGGGGTAGGACAGAGAGAAGTTTTCCCCTTTCTTTTTGTATGTATACAATTTCATTGGAGTTTACATAATAATGATTATGACTGTTTATGTCATATCTTGTCATGTTACCATTTCTTGTCACGTTAAGTTATCTTGACAATGGGCGCAAAAAACCCAAAATAAACCAACAAACAAAAATATGAAATTGACACGCGTATCGATATGCCTCACGGTGCCCTCTTCAACATCAGCCGGTACTCGATACTGGCAGTCGGTCGATTCGAAAAAAAGTAACGGCAGGGCTTGGGGGTTGGGTGGAAATGTTAACAACCATGTAGCGCAGTGATCTTTTTAGGTCTAAAATACTCTCCTCGAAAAAAAGAGGATAACAAATGATTCCATTCGATAGTAAAGTATAATAGCCTACACATATTGTTGCTCCTATCGCAAAAATTTATTGTTACCCGACATTTAGTTACCCCTGACATTCTTGACATTTCCGACATTTCAGTTATACACCGAAACTAGGGGGCGGCATGCAAGTTGCCCGAATCATCATCTCGTATATGATATGGAAATAACAGAGATATGTCATTTTTTCTTGCTCCCTTTATATAATGAATTGACTAGTTCGCTCGAAAAATTTAGAAACAGGACAATTATTATTACCTGGCAACAGGATGAGATGCCCGATCTTTATATATCTCACATTCGGCTATCGAGGCCCGGTATCGTCCGATTATTATTTGCAGTGTATTTGGAGAACAAAATGAAATTTTACCTGGTGAGTGTGTCAATGCTTATTGCTTGCACGGTAGCCATTAGAGTCAATTGAATATATTATCCACGATCCTGAAACCTAACCGCGAAGCCCTATAACCCTAAAGTAAGTTACTACCCTAACCCTAACACATTTCCTTCATTATAATTTCAAGTTTTTCTCCTTAACCTTAGTTTTAGTTATCGTCATATAATTATTCGTATCATTATTAGTATTATTACAACTTTTTATTACCATCAGTATCATCCCGTATTTTTCATTATTTGTTATTATTATCATTTTTGTTATCATTGCAATGACGAACCTTCGTCATTGCCTTGTTATTGTTGTTGTTATTATCATGCAGTAGTGAGTATAGTCACCATGCATCAGTCCTGCCATGCATCATCATCATTATCCTGATCTTTATCATTTGTATTATTATTATCACTTTTAATTATTATCGTCATCATCATTATCATTACCAATTAATATTATTATTAACTTGATAATCAGTATCATAATCATTTATCGTCATCATCATTATTGTTACCATCTTATTTCCTTCATTTTCATTTCAGATAAATACGGGTTACTCAGGGCATTGTCAGCTATGTAATCTTCTGAAAGCGGGATATCAAACATTCGCTTACACAGGGCTTGTAATAAATGGATTCCGCATCTAAGAGGGCCCTTTGAAGCAGTCCGTTGCACCGAGAGTCTTTTTTCCCCCTATCATAATCCCGTTAATCCCCCACTCGGACCGCACAGCTCGTAAATCTCACTCCCGAAACTGAGTGACATAGGGCTCGCGAAATGCATTGTTGGAAATACACATCGGCTGCTATCGACAAAAATGGCGGCGTACAGTAGGGAAGAGTATTTGGTAGGCGACGATTTAGACTTTCTGACTGATTTTGAGGAAGATTTTCTTGAGCCTGGTGTATGGGAAGTTGGAGACCAATACAAGTTATGCACGTGTGAAATTCCATCAACGGAAAATCTTATTCGTTGCAGCGAACCAGAATGTACGGTTAAATGGTTTCATCGTGAATGCGTAGGCCGCTCCATGTAAATAGGCAGCATTTGAATACATGAATAGTCAATACACTCACAACATACAGTACAAATGCACATAATCATCCCGATGCGGTTGATCGGCAAGTTTGACAGTAGACTCACAATTTTAATTTTTAAATTATTCTTTCTAACATCAGAAAGTTGAACAAATTGTATTTTAATGCGCTTTAGGTGTCATCAATCGTCACTATAGTACTGCCTTTGAATGAAATCAGTTGAGTTTTGTACAGTGGTGTTTGAAATGTTGAGAATCAATAGCACAACTTTCAATACACGGCCAGGGTAGAAATGCAGCTATGTGTGTTTCCACCAACAACATCCAGCATGTACAGCCCAGCGAGCACGGCGGCTTTCGCGTCGCCGGCCCGTACTCGGGGTGAAAAGTGGTGATGAATTGACAACTTCTAACCCTCATTAAACCAAATGCGCAATTATACAACACAGTTTCATTTAGTTATTTTAAGAGATAAACTTATGGACTACCTTCCTAGCTATGTAAAAATTTCGGAAACTTTCGGAAAATGTCAATAATTAGAAGAGAACGTGATGATGATGAGAAACTTGCATTCACTCTAACTCACGATTTCCTTGGTCGATTTCGCTGGTTCAGATGGCTACGTCTTCAGAAGAGTTATCCGAGCACAGCGAAAGCATTTGATAACCAATAGCAGGTTGCCTTGTGCCATAAGTTGTCGATTTTGTATTTTTGTCTGTTATAGCTATATACATCTTCAATGAGTATGACGTCATTTTCTCGGTGACTCGCATGGCTTCAAAGCCTTTTTTTTACGACCAAGTGTTTGGAGAGCTTAGGGAAGCAGGCCGCGTTGCGTAACACTTCGTAACATTTGGATCGCCAGAGGGCATCTGTGGTCTGATAAGGGCGGCTGTTGATGGATTTGATGGCTGAAGAGGGTTACATTA